TAAGACAATTCCAAAAGAAACATGATGGAAAATGCTATCCACATCTAGAGTAAGAACTATGGAATCTATTTTCACCTTGTTTTTCATGTTTTTCCCACCTTTTGTCTGTTTCTTCTTTTACAACATGACTAATGTGGAAATAAGTTTAACATGATAGCACATGTATGACCCATATTAGATTGCTTGCCGTTTTGGGGAAGGGAAGAAAAATCTGGAACTGAAAATCTTATAAAAATGAATATTGAAAACTATCTTTACATTAATTGGAAAAATAAAATGCTATTTACAAAAAAATGCAAAGAACAGAAGAGGAGATTCATCAGGAAATATGGTCAAAAGGTACAATTTATGTGCTCAGTGTTTCATATACTTAAAAAACCCAAGCTATATATAAGAGACTCATAGTTTCCTATACAATCATCTTTTCCTTTTCTTCTTTGTATACACCAATACCCATATTTGTTGGGTTTTGTCAAATTTGAAATAAAAAAATTTTAAATTAAAAAAAAACTTCAAAAGGACTTCATATCTCTGATCTCCTTAATGAGCAGCTATGACTTCAAAAGACAGATGATGAAGTGTTCTTCTCACCTCTTGACAGAAAGTCAGTGGAGTAAAGGTGCAAAATGAGACACATTTTCAGAAGAGACTGGGTTCATTTGTTTTGCAAGCCAATACTTACTTGTTACAAGGAAGAGGTTCTTTTTAGGGAAGGGGATCTTAGTAAGTATGATAGAGATGCAAAAAAAAGAAAAAGAGCCTCAATAAAGCATTAAAATACATAGAAGAAAACAAAAAGGACATGAACAAGATTATTTTGTAATACTTTGTAAAATACATATGTAATATACATTTTGAAACAAACATATTCAATTTTATCTACAGCTCTTTTTGTTCTTTGTATATTGAGAATTATATTTGTGGTTGATTAAGTTGATTAAAAAAAGAATATATACTCATGTGAGGAAATTCAATTGTCCAAGGACAAGAATATGGTGGGGGCATTCGGATGTTGAATGTGGAAAAGAAGTAAGTGATATTGTCATAATGATAATAGTTAGAGCTCATACAGCACTTTAAATTCTGTGAAGTTTTTTATATGTCATTTAACTTGTAGTGGGTATAAGACAGATCTGTTGGACAAGATAAATTAGATGAGGAGTTTGGGAAATATATCAAAAAATAGTATGGAAGTATACTGTTGTAGTGATGAGAAACTTCAACTATCTGGAAATCTTCTGGGGCTTTCTCTTTGCCAAAACCATTACATTTAATACATTTGTGATTGGTCTAAATTGTTTCATCTTTTAAAAGATAGAGGAAGTATCAAGATTATTAGAATTTGGGATTTAGAAACCCAACTCTGATGTACATGCTAGGTTACATGCTAGATTGTTGGAGGTTCAGATTTTAAAGTGTGCAGAGAAAGAATGCCCCAAAATCCTATAGGGAAAATCAGACTAGAAGAAATTTTGAAGACCTATATATAGATAGTTTGAACTAGTGATGTTTAGCCCATGGAAGAAAAGATTTAGTAGAGGTAAAATAAAATAGCTTTCTTGAGTATCTGAGGGGTTATCTTGTGGAAGTGGGATTCAACCTGTCGATTTAGGCCCAGGGAGCAGTACTAGTAATAAAGCATGGAAGTTGTGAAAAAGCAAATTCAGGCTTGATGTAGGGAAAAATTTCCTAATAATTAGAACTATCCAAAAGTCAAACAGATTTCCTTAGAAAGTGGTCTTCAAGCAGATGCTGGATCATTACTTAGGGATTTTGTATCAGAGATTCTTGGTTGGTTGCAAATTAGATTAGCTGTCCTCTCTGGCCCCTTCCAACCCTTAGATTTTGGGAAACTGAATCCTTCAAAGTATATCAACTATACAATCACTGTTACAAAAGATTTTTTATTTTTATGAGTGCAAGTTTGGTATGAATCAATATTGATATAGGTCAAAATGTCTAATGTTTTCTTAGGGTCCATTATTAGGATTACAGTGTTCAGACTGAAAGTACTACTGTATTTTGCAGTGGTCACCACATTTTACAAAAGACACTGATAAATCAGGTTGCCTGGAGGTGTGTGTCCAGAATAGTGAGAGGTCTGGAAGCAATATCATACAAGGACCAGTTGAAGGAACTAAAGATGATTAGACTGGAAAAGAGGTGGCTGGGGGTGGGATGATGTTAGTCGTCATCGATTATACGAAGACCTGTACATGAAAGAGGGAATAGACTTACAGAGTACTAGCAAGTGAAAGTCACAAGGCAGCACAATTTGGTTCAATATAAGGCTGCTAACAATTAAACCTGTCTCAAAATAAATGGTCTGCTTTATAAAGGGTAGGTCTTAGCACTTAGAATAAGTTCCCTGTAATCTTTGAAGTAAAGTTTAGGTGACTACCTGTTGTTGAGGATGTCTTTTTTTTTTTTTGGTGAGGCAATCAGGGTTAATTGACTTGCCCAGGGTCACACACCTAGTAAGAGTGTCAAGTATCTGAGGCCAAATTTGAACTCAGGTCTTTCTGACTCCAAGGCTGGAGCTCTATCCACTGCACCACCTAGTTGCCCCTTTTGTTTTTGTTTTGTTTTGTTTTGTTTTTTTAAGAGGATTATTTCTCACAGTAAGTGTACTTGGCTTCCTTTTTTTTGTTTTTGCTGTAAATTTTCTAAAAAGTCCCTCTTCCTGAGAAACATATAAATTCCACCACATTTTCCTGCTGACCAGGGCAGCTGTTTTTTTTTTTTTTTCTTCAGGCAAATAAAACTAGCTAGTGGGGATTCTAGCATTGAATGAAACATGGAATTAGATAAACTTTATAACTTCCATTTCTCAAGATTCTATACTTTTCTAGCCTGATTTCTCACTATTTTCTTCTATGTATCTTATGTGCACTTAAAGGGACAACTCACTATTACTTGAATATCCCTTTCACTTTCTGACCTTCATGATGTTCACTCTGCCATGGTCCTTTAAGTGGGGGAAAGGGGAAAGGAAGAGGAAGAATGGTATTTGACTTTCTTGATACTTGAGAAAGGAGAAAATGAAAATCTAGCTTATGGGGGATTTGGTGTTAGAAGTTTCTACCGTAGCTTGAGACTTTCAGAACTAGTGTGGCCAGTTGCCATGGGCAAATGTGGAGTAACCATTTTCATCTGACTTAGTATCTTTTGAACCATATGAATTCTTTTTATCTTTTGCAACTACTAAAGTTGTTTTTGAATTTCATGTTCCAAGAGTTCCTTACCGTATTCCAATCCTGAACCTAAATTACTAGACTAGCCTGAGGAAGCCTGGCCGAGAATATTGCTTGAAATAGCATATCCACTCTTTTTTCAAGGCCTAATGGGAAATGTTACCACCTCTGATTGTTCTGGAAATGACCCCTCTGCTTCTCTAACTTCTATTTGCACTTGTCTGGTGGTACTTATTAAATATTGATTTGTGCATGTATCTTTTCTCACCTAATAGGCTTACCTATATCCCTCTTCTCTCCAACCTGAAATTTAATCGCTATTAGGAATTCCTGGTGTGAAAACTCTTTCTCCTGATGCAGATTAAAAGTCTTAGAGAATTGCCTGGGGCATTCTGGGAAGTTAAGTGACTTGCCCATGGACACACAACTAGTATATGTCATAATTAGGACTTGAACCTAGTTCCTGACTCCAGGATTGTTCTTTTATCACTCTACCACACTACCTCTACTTAATATGTAATTCTCAAAATATATTGATTGGCAATTTGATTTATATAACAATAAAGTATAACATAAAATCAGATGACAACTGATATGATCATTTTTGATTTCCAAAACAGCAAGTCATATACAATGTCTTCATCGGAATTAACTATAGGATAATTGCCTAACGTCACTGTGTGGTCTGACCATATCAAAGTTCATTAAGCTGTTGGTTAGTAACATTACAGAATGTTAGAGCTTGAAGGGATTTTAGAAAGGTCATCTAGTTTAACCCCCTTATTTTCCAGATGAAGAGACAGAGGCCTAGTGAAGTTACATGACTTTGGAGACACACACGTAGGCAGTATTGGTATTAGAGGCCATATATGTGTGTGTATATAGATATTTACTTCCAGTTTTCTGCTCTTTCTACTATACAAGCTACCTTTAAAGGAGCTTTGTATCTGCTTGCTGATAATTTTTTTTCAGCCTTCTATGACCACATAAACACACTGCATTGTATCCTGTGCTGTTGTTCAGTCTGTCCAACTCTTTGTTACCCCATATGGGGTTTTCTTGGCAAAGATACTGGAGTGGTTTGCCATTTCCTTCTCCAATGGGATTAAGGTAAACAGGGTTAAATGATTTACCCAGGGTCACACAGCTAGTAAGTGTCTGAGGTTGAATTTGAACTCAGGTCCACCTGATTTCAGGCCCAGTGCTCTATCCACTAAGCCATCTACCTGCTTCTACATCCTATGTACTCGATTCAAAATCGAATAGAATTTATTATTTAACATCAAGCCAGATCTATAGTTTATGCTTTAAATAATTCTTGTTCTATTTGTACAACCCTTCTTTAATTTTTACTGTTATGAAAATTGTTATTTTTTCATGAAAGACATCATGGCATCAAAGACTGAGAGCAGCCCTCAGAGGCAGGAAGACCTGTCAGGTCCTGCCTTTGACCCATTTAGCTGGATTCATAGACCAGTCTTTAATCTTCAGTGCCCTAGTCAGCTCTAATACTAAAAGTTGCAGAGAAAGTATATTGTTAGGGGAAATTCCTCTATGCTGATAAAATCACAAGACCTGGTGAAAAAGAAGAAAATTACTATTGTATAACTTTAATTTAAGGTGCATTATTTATAATTGGAGTTAAAAATGGCCTACATAAGGAATATAGATACTTAACGAAACAAAAAGAGCTATTCTAACTTCTCCCCAACCCCCCAAAAAGGAATACTTTCAGAATGTTAGGAACCACTGGGAACATTTTGTTTACTGTATGTTTTGTTTCTCAAATACAACCTTACACACTTGTAAGACTTTATCACTGTATAAAAATGTACAGTGGCTTTATTGACATGTACATTCCATTATGTTTACAGCTGCAAGATATGAGGCACACTCAGTATTGCACTTCATTAAAATTTCAGGCTCAAACATAACCTAGAAGTTTAAATGAAATTGCTTTTGTAATTTAGTAATTCTTATACAGGACAAACATTGATATCTTTATATACAGTATGATGCTTATTACATTAATATGCCTTCCAAACACAATTTTTATAACAGTCTAGGAAATAAACCAGAATATTCTTCTTTTTACCCCCTCCCGTGATGCAGTTACAATTGTACAGGTTTACAAAAAGTCAGTATACAATAACCAATGATTTTTTTTTTTAATTTTCTTTGCCTGACAGCCAGCATCATTTGTAGTCTATGGGCATGGTGATCCTTTTATATCAATTATCTATAAATATCCAATGCTTCATAGCCGATGACTGTAATGGCCACATGCAAACATCTCACAAGGTGGATGTCTTGGTTCAAAAAAAAAAAAAAGGCATTTTTTTTTTCACAGCAAGAATTATGTACATGGTATTTGGCATCCTTCTTGCACTGTAAATGTTTTTTTTTTTTTAAATTTTAAAATGGTCCCATCCTCATCCTGAGAAGTGTATAGAGTCCACTGTATTCTCTTCCTGACAAGGGCAGCTGTTTTTTCGGGCAAATAAAATTAGATGGTCTAAAATGTGTGAGCATTTCTACAAACCCCACAACCCAGAGCAAATTCTTCTCCAGTAAGTGGATGGACAACATGTAGAGGACATTCTGTTCCTTCCAATTGTTTGCCTTTGGGACCTATGAAGTTTTAAGGAAACAAAAGATTATTTAATGCAAATTAAGGAATATGGTTATTCAAAGCTGTGGTTCATTTACAATCATATGAATCAATTAATCAATAAACATTTATTAAACACTCACTATGTGCCAGACATTGTGATAAGTCCGGGGATACAAAGAGGCAAAAGGCAATCTATGCCGTCAAGGAACTTACAGAGTAATATGGGAGACAACAGGCAAACAAATAGATAAAAAGCAAGCTAGATAGAGAATAAATAGGAAGTAATTAAAAGAGGGTAAACACTGAAATTAAGAGGAGCTAGAGGAGGCTTCCTGTAAAAAAAGGGATTTTTAGTTGGGACTTCAAGGAAGCCAGAGAGGTCACTGGTTGAAGCAGAGGAGAGAGAGTGTTCCAGGCATGGAGGACAGCCAGAAAGAATACCTAGAGCTGAGAGATGGAGGGTCTTGTTCGTGGAACAGCCAGGAGGCCAGTGCCACTGGATCAAAAAGTACGTGAAAACTTCTATTTGTTTTAGCATTGCCTATAAGTGATATAATGAATACATAGCCATGACTGATTTCACCATGGCAGAAAAAATCTTGGCTAAAAAATGTAGGATTTTGACTGTTTTCCCCTCAAAGGCAAAACCAATAAAATAACATTAAGATTCAATGACCATGTACAAATACTGTTTTTTTTAACTTAGCCCTAAAGAAAGCTAAAAGTGGGAAGAATCATGATTAATATTTATTTTTAAATCAAGCAGTATTGGATTTTTATCTCAGCAATCATAGGTTCTTTGAAAAATATGAACAATTCATTAATTTAATTTATGGTATATAAAAAAAGGAAATGAACCTTTGTGGACAACATGAATTGAACTAAGTTCACTAAAAACCCAATCATTGCACAATTATGGAGTAACCTCTTGTCTGTGTTTATACATTTATTTCCTTATGATAACTCAGAGTTTAAATTGAGTTTAAAATTGGCAAAGGGGCTTTTGCTCCTCTAAAAACAGGACCAAAATGACTTAGTGATACAACTTGGCTCATTAATTGTGCTCATCTTAAGTTAATTCAGCTTCAGCTGACAAGCTTGAGGTAGAAACTTTACAAAACCCAGGTTACCTCTTGAGCAATGTTGCTGAAAGAGGCACCAATAACAGCAAGTTGTTCTGCCATCACACTGAAGTAAACTCTAATCCTCGTTAGAGGAAAATAAATAGCAGAGGACTAGATCAAGGAGACCAAACAAGGAGATGATACCTTTTTTTAAATCTCCATCTTCTTATACAGATGAAGGAAAATTTGAAGGGAAATAAAGGACTAGCAGAAAGTAGTCCTATGTAAGGACTATGAGCTGAAGTTTAAAGGCAAGCATCTAAGCCTGTGGAAGTGGGGGGACATAGTTGGTGTGCCTCTTCAGCAGAAAACCATATACACTCACTTTTTCTGTAAAGCAAGCCTCTAAGGACCAGGACAACGTGAAGGACAAAATGTTGAATGCGGCTATAGGAGCGCTGTTAGTTACAGTCTTAAATATATGTTTAGTACAGGGATTTTGACAATGAAGATTAATATTCTAATAGGGACAGGAATATGTCAGGGGTTTAGTTAGAAAGAAAACTTCTGTGGTGTTGATAATAGGTCTTTATGATTGTTTGGGGGAAATTGCTTGTTGATCCCTTTCCTAGCATTTATTGAGAAATTCTTATACAAAATACAAAGATATACTTTGCCGTACAATGTAGGTACAATGAAGGGCTAAAGGACTTACTCAGGGTCAAAGAGCTAGTATGTGTCAGAGCCAGATTTGAACCCAAATCTTCCTGGCTCTTGGTCAGTCATGATGACTCTCTACCCCATTCTTTTTCATCCCCCAACTCCCCTATCAATAAAGAGTTTAATTTTTTAAGATGGTAGTTGATTCTCAGAATTCTTGACAGCAGATTCATTAGAAGGGCATTGATTTAACTTCACTCACAGTAGAGACTTCCATATCTGGCAACCCCAAAATGCAAGCCCGTGCTCTTAAAACAGGCAGAAGGGCAGAAAAAGGATGCCTACAATATACAGTGAAAGATGATGTCACAGTAAATGAGGACTTTGGTGACGATTAAAAACAGAATACAGGTAGTGTTGACTTAGAGCAAATGTCCATTTTCTTGGGGTGATTAAGATGCAACAATTCTATCTTTTACCCTGGGCAGGTCTACCATGCTAGGGTGGATCTTGAATGTGGATGAATTTCTAGGTGAATGTGACGTGGTTGGGAAACCTCCGGAGCTGCCCTTTGACTCATTTGATGACACTTCAGAGTTTTTGTTGCCTGCATAGGCTGGGAGTCCCTCTGCCTTCACCCACACTTGGTTTTGATGGCAGTAATTAGAATATTGCTCCCTCTGCCCTTTCAGCTATCCCTTCTACCACTGCGGAGTCTCTCCTTCAGATTGTGGGCCTTCACCTTGATAGCAGTCATGAAAAAATAAATTAGAAGATGTGTGAGGCTGGCAGATACCATTACGTTGGGAATGCTGAGCTCTAAACCTCACAATGCCCCAAACTATTTTCGGTACTGCTTACTACTGCTGTATGGATGGAAGACTGAAATCTTATCTATCAATTAACCAATGAGTGTCTCTTAAGCCTCACACACTGTGTTAGGCACCAGGGGTACAAAGACAAAAGTGAGATAGTGCCTGCCCTCAAGAAGTTTACATTAATAACATACTGAACTGTGTAAACATATGTGGTTTAAAGGATTTATATAAAGAATTTTTATAGAAATGGGCTAACAGGCAAAAAAGCAGATGATTTATATTCCAAATGGAGAATTGGGTGGCAACGTTAGCTTTTCATACTTGCTGGATTATTGTGTTCTAATATCTTCTTTACTTCAGTTTCCCCTGCCCTCATTTTTGGAGAGGGTGTATGTGTTAAGGAATAGGAGCATGGACTTGTGATTTCATTAGTGTACTGAACTCCTGGTGAAGAAACTTTATCAATGAAGATGGGCAACTGCTCTGAACCTTATATAATCTTAGAGGACTGACTAGGAGGTTAAGTGACTTCCCCAGGGTCATAAAGACATTGTATTTCAGAAGTGGGAATTTAACTCAGGTTCTCCTGACTTTGAGGCTGGTTCTCTTGCCATTTTGATATAAAGGATCTAAAATGTGGCCAAAGTTACCTGCCACTTTATCCTATTCTAACAAAGTCCTAATAAAAAAGGCTTGCCCTATTGATAATTTTAGAAACAAAGGCCTTACTGTTCCCAGTTAAAAATGAAACTAAAATAATGTGTAAAAATAATCTAAAATAGGGGGCAGCTAGGTGGTGCAGTGGATAGAGCATCGGCCCTGGATTCAGGAGGACCTGAGTTCAAATCCAGCCTCAGACACATAACACTTACTAGCTGTGTGACCCTGGGCAAGTCACTTAACCCCCATTGCCCAACCAAAAAAAAAAAAAAAACACCAAAAAAACCAAAAATCCAAAACCAAAACAAAACCAAAAAAACCAACCTAAAATATATCAAAATAAAATAATTTTTCCATCAGAATCCACTGTAATCTATAGAAGATTCCTATGAAACCTAGTGGCAAACTTATTCACATTCTTTCTAGGCGATTTGGAAAAATGTATAGCATCTGTGTCAATACTATACACAGACAATAATCATGACAAAAAAAGCTTGATGAAAGCTCACCTGCAGGACAGTGTGGAAGTTCTTCTTTGGGGATGCTTGTCATTCTTTGAAAATCATCATGACATGCATTACAAAAATGTGTTGTTCCAAAACAGAAAAATACAGCCACAGAGCAGCAGTAGCGGCATTTGTACTCTAAGAAGTCTGTACCATGTTTGGGACACATCTGCAGGAAAAGAAGTCAGACTGAATATTAAAGGAAGGTTATCTGAGACTTAAGATCTTTAACTTCCAACAACTTTGACTCAAAATGTCTCCACATTTCACCCCCATCCATTCCTTCATTTCTGCCTCAGAGACAGAAGTGGCTCTTCTTACCAAAGCAACCTCTTTGTTTGTGCTCTTGGCCTTTTCTGCTCCTGTCTATTCCAGCATCTTGCTCCCTCCTTTCACTTATTTTTTTTTTTTTTTGTCAGCAAACATTTATTAAGCACCTAACATGTGCCAGGAACTGTACTAAACACCAAGGTTACAAATATGAAAAGGAAAGAAAATTGCTGCCCTCAAAAAGCTTAGAAAAAAAGTCCCTCCCACTTCTCTGACCTTGCCCTACACTGAGAAAGTAAAAACAAGAACAAAACCTTAAATCTCTGTTATAAACATGTATGGTCAAGTAAAATGAAACTTCTCATTGGCCATGTCTATAGAAAAAACATGGCTCTATCTGCACTGAGTCCATCACTTTCCTCTCTGTCAGGAGGTGGGCAGTATAAATCCTTAGGAATTGTGGTTGTTTATTGTATTGATCAGATTTCCTGAGATTTGTTTGTGTGTTTGTTTTAATTAGCCAGTAGCCACCTTCTTACTCTCCTACCCCAAACCTCTCATGTCCACCGAGAATGTAAGAAAACCCAAACTCATTACAAACATGTATATAGTAGTTAATCATAACAAATGTCCACATTGGCCTTGTTCTAAAATATATTTGTATCATTCTACCTTCTGAGTCCTTCATCTCTCTACCAGAAGGCGGACAGCATATTTCACTTGGAATCCTGCTTGGTCATTGTGCTGATAAGAGTACATCTCAGTAATGCTATATTACATCAAGTTTAAGCTCTGCTACCTACGGGCTTTGATCTTAGGCAAGTGTATCAAATTCTCTGAGCTTCAGTTTTCGAATCTGTAAGGTATACTCTCATTTGTAGTACTCATTTCAGAGGTTTATTGTGACAAGTGAATGAGATTATACAAAGAATTTTGTAAGGACTTAGCTTCATATTTCACGAAAAAAAGAGATCATTTGCCAAGAACTGCCTCTCTTCTGTCTCCCCTCTTCATCTGACATCATTCAGATATCTCTTTCTACTATCTCCTCTTTCACTTCAATGTCAGATGAAAAGATTGGCCTTTCTTACTAACAAGCACAATACCTTGTATAATTATTTGCTCAGTATGTTTGCTAAGTTTAACTGCACAGCTTAATTATACCAAATCTAATTTATAAATAGAAAACATTTTAAAATTGATGAGCCAGAAATATAGGATAAAGGACTTTGAATTAAAAAGTCAGGAAATCTGAGTTCTATTATTACAGTATAAGACTTTAATCAGGTGGCTTAAACTCTCCACTCAGTTTCCTCAGCCATCCTATCTTACAGAGATGTTATGAAGCTGTAACAGGAGAAGGATAAACAAACAAAAAAAAAGCCAACAGCATGTGCTATTAGTTTATTATCTGGAAACTGTTAGTAGAAAAAGAACTGTAAATATGTAACGCTATAGAGGAAAAACTGTAAGAATAATGACATAATGTATGTGAAAGATTTTCAATAACTACACTGTTCTGTATAAGTGTAAGTTACAAGGAATGTCAGGTAGTAGAAATAAAATTGGTCTTGAACACTTCATTTTTGATTATGTTACTTAATCCCTATGTGACCCTTCTGAACCTCAGGATCTTCATTTGTAAAATGAGGCAGCTGGATTAGAAGATCACTATGGTCTTTTCTAGCTATAAATCTATGATTATAAACCAGGACTTCTTAGGCTTACACAATAGGTAACATTTACTATGAATATTAAAAAACTCCCTGTAATACTTTTAGACCACCTTTCTATCTCATAAGTTTTCATACCCACCTGAGCCCTGGATACATCAGAACATGCTCCACAAATAAGCTCTCTAGGATCATAATCATCCCCTTGCCCAGCCTCAGCATCACAGCGAGCTTCACCACCAAAATACGCCTGGGGAAGTCAGAGAATATGTTGACATTAATGCAGAAATGAAGAAAAATATCACGTAAGAATCTCAGGGAGATGGCCTAAGGAAAAGGAAACCAAGAAATCTAGGATATATGAGCATTAGATTTTTTTTTAGATACCTACCATTACAGTTAGGCCCTCATCAGGTCACGCACTGCTTCCAGTGGGATACAGAAAGATGTAACACTGTCTGGTTTTGAGATGGTTCTTTATTTACAATTTGTTGTTGCTGTGAAGTTTTTTTTCAGTTGTGTCCAACTCTGCCCAAACGGGGCTGTGAAGAGTTGGACGCAATTGAAATGGCTAAGCAGCAACAAAAGGAGGCCAGCGTTACAGTCTGAGTCCCTGTGCTGAAAAACTTCTAGATTTGATCTTGTCCCATCAAAAGATATCAGGTAATTATCTAATAAATGTACAACAGTCGCAGGGAAGAATTAGCAAAAGGGTAAGGATTGGTGCAAGGATATATCACCCTTCTGGAAGAAGAACTCAAAACACATGTTTTATTGATACAGTAATATCCTCTTTTTCAGTATTTCTACATATACAAGTCAGCACATCAAAATGCAATACCAAAATACCACCAAATAAATTATATAAATATGGAAAAAAATTTTCATTTTTAACTTAATAAGTATAGAACTCTCACAGATGCTCTCTGATGTCTCCCCATGGCACAGTAGGGACCCTGAGTTCTCAAAGGTGATGCTAGTGATCTACAAGCAGTAGCAGGTTCCATAAGGCTGGAAAGTCCTTGGTCACAGCTAAATCTGTTGTTTTTAATTTAAAGCCTGTGTCTCCCCATCCCACTAAGGCTAAAAATGCAAGGATAGTCATAGGCCCAAATCTAATACTGATTGACACAGAAGCTTGGACCTTTTCCATTTCTGACCTGGAATAGTTTACTCCTCCCTTGGGCAACCTGGTGGCTTCTCATTTCCAGAGACTTCACCATATTTATGCCAAATTCGGTGCGGATACGTGATTAGCATAGCCTACTGCAGTTCAGAACTCCTAGTTCAAGAAATTTTTCAGTCTCGGAGGCTAGCCTCCAAGGTAGCTAGAATTACAGGCATCAACTACGATGCTCGGCAAGGTGAATGTATCAATAAACTAAGCAAGATCGACTTTGTATAGGAAGAAATTTCCATCTAAGACTCAGTCTACATGAGCAACTTGTTACCTAAGGCCTTTGCTAAACTTCCCAGATGTCAATGTTCTCTATCCACTGTCAAATCACATTGTATATACTCTGCATATGTATTTTGTAGTAACTTATCCATAAACTTCTTGTTTCTCCTCAGAAGAATCTAAGCTGCTTGAGGCCAGGGCCTATTTCAGTTCTGTCTTTACACAGAGGAAACGGAGGCCTGGAGATTCAAGTGACTTGACTATGATCACATAGCTAGTAAACATCAGAGGTGAGTTTTGAACTGAGGTCTTAAAAGACTTTAAATTCAGCACTTTACCAAACCACAAGCCTCACATAATAGGTATCTTACAAATGTGAATAAATCAAAGAGGCATAAAACTATCCCATTTATATCCCCAGTTTTAAAATAAGTGTGTACCATCTACTATGCATTTAATTTCTTAGTTATCTATACAATTTCCAATTTTAAAAAAGTTATTGAAATAAATTTATAGCATACCTTCTTGCATTTGTAGCAGACATAATAAGCATATCTATTCATGGCATAACCAGCAGGGTCATTATAAAACCTAACGCCTGGTGTTGTGATAGCCTCACTCTTGTGCAGTCCTTCATATTCCAATCTCATTAAGGCCTTTCTCCTGACATCTTCATAGAGTTCTTTGATTGGATCAAGCAGGTCTTTTAATACTGTATGATTTATTTTGTTCTGGAATGAAGAATATAGCACCTTACGTTCATATTAGCTTTCTGCTAATCTCTATGTAGTAGATATTTCCCACATCAGTTACTTTTTCAATATGCCATAGACCAAATACCCCAAGCAAAATTTTCAATGTAAAAGAGAAATGCATTCCAAAAATATTTTAAAAGTTATTTCATTAATATTTTAATGTTTTTAAAGTCCAACATACTGAGTTTTCTTTGTTGTCAATCAGTAATTGATCCTTGCAATGTTTATAGAAACTGGTAAAAGACACTGCTGATAAGTCTGTTGACAAGTCTGGATACTAAAGGCATTTAGGACTTAGGACGTATTCTGAATAGAGGGGGCACTGAGAAGATGCTGAAAGACTGATCTGACAAGAATATAAACTGCTTAATTAAAATTTAAAAAAATTATAAAATACAGGGAACAGAAATGACTGGTTCTTATAAAATTTATTCATATAACCAAGGTGATAATAATGGTAAATAAAATATTAAACCAAAGAAGAATGACCCTCATAACTCTTAACCCTATCTTATTCTTCTTAGAAACACAAAGGGAAAAGTAGAACACACTATCCTAGTTGTTCCTAAGTCTCTTTCCCTAAGATTTCTATCCTGTTGCTTTACTTCTGACCTGACACTTAGAAGTTAATGCCTTAAGGAAAAAAAAAAAAACTTTTTCTATCTTTTTTTTGAAGGAGATGCAAGAAGGTAGAAAGCAACATTTTCTAGGATGCCACCTTCAGATAAATTGCTCTAGAACTAAATTTGGCCCTGCTTTATGGCACCAAACAGGGGAGGAAAGTATAATAGCATAACTGGGTTGTTCTGCTAAGAAGTGATTGCTCTGAGTCTCTCAGAGGGTATATTTTGGATTTTAGATCCTGAGCTTTTTAGGACTTGGCCTAATGTCACTGAAAGGTCAGATTATAGTTTCATCAGACAATTGAAGATATTTGTATCTATTAACAGTAGAACAATAAGTTCATTTTTCTTATAGTCAACTGTTCAACATATGTTGTGATATGAACTTATTTTTCAATTCATGTTGGCAAACAAGTATTTCTTAAAGAAGATAAGTGAAGATAAGTTGAAGATGAGTGACACATCTAATATGCGTTTGAATGATTTTTTTCTGATAAAACCAATTCAATGAGGAATTAAAGAGTAACTATTGAGCACCTAAAATTTTGAAATGTCATAAATAAAACTAATAATAAAATAAATCTGTTATAAAACAGTTAGTGAGAAATATATAATAACATATTCTCACGTCAACTAGGAAGGCAGTGGTGGAATCTGTAAGACTGATGCTGTACGATTTTCTAGGGGGGAAGAGCACGAGGCAGCTAAGCAAGCAGGGCATCAAAGGCCACAAAAGTAGGATACTGTGTTTCCTGAGTCTCTAGACACCAAGAAGAATCTGGAACTGAAGTAGAGCATAGATAATTTTTAATTTTCCCATACCTTGCAAATAGGACAAGATATAAATCCAAAGGTTATCCGAGGCCCAAGCCATCTGTTTTCTAAAACTCGTCGACAGCATTGCAAGTGGAATATGTGACTACAATCCAACTTCAAAAGAAAAAAAGGGAAATACATGAACAACGCATGGTCAAAAACAACTAACAGCAGAGATATTTATGACTTTTAGGGACTCACACGGTGAAATCCCTGGATATGTACGCAGGCTTTTTACCATCTCTTTGCTACTCAGTAGGTCCAGTCTGTGGACTATGTAGGCTCTTAGTTTTTCCTCATCTTTTGGCCATTTTACCCCAGTAAGAAAAGTTTGAATGCGTTAAAAGAAAAGTGGTGAAACTACTACTTAATACTGCCCTACTTTGTTATAAGGAAATACCCGATCCTAATGGATGCCCTTTCATTCAGCGACCTATGACAAAAATGCCAATTATCTGTAAATTAGAAGACACATCCATGACTGTGAAATAATGAATGAAAATACAGGCAGGTCTTATCAATTTTTCACTATAAAAATGATAATGTAAAACTGCTAAAATATGAAATAACCACCTGAATAGCTGGTGCTGCTGAAAGTGCCTCAGTGAAGCATATCATACACATGTCATCAGCATCTTGCTTAAGCGTGGTGGCATTTTTATCACAGCCATGCAGACATGGTAAACAGTGTTCTTCATTTTTGACGCCTCCACACGGATGGCCACAAGGATGTGTCTTGCTACACGCTATTTTAGCATATTCCTGTCAAAGAGAAATTCACAAAAGCATAAGACCTTAAAACTTAAAGGCAAATGTCTGACTAATTACATTACACTCATTGTACTAATTTTCTTACAGGCAATAAATATTAAGATTAGGCATCAATTAATATTATTTTCTATTTAACACTTTAATACAACCAAGGACTAAAATTATAAGAACCATTTTGAATTTTAAATTGATAATGAAATGAAAAAGGCTAATTAACACTGAGTTAACGATCATGCATTTAAAAATATTTGTCCCCAAAGAATTAAAAAAACAACAGCAATGAAGTACTAAGTAATTCAGTAATTTAAAAACAAATTTGCTGTAGCTAAAAAAGGATTACTAAGATAATGGGAACATTATTTGGGATAAGAAAAATTAGAGAAGAAAGCTAAGTATTTAATCAAATTTTATTTAAGAAAATAAAGGAAAGGGTCTAGTATAGAGGTTCCCAAAGTGGGGGATACTGCCTCCTTGTGGGACACTGGAATGATCCAGAGGGAAGTTGTAATTTCGGGTACAATTGAAGGGCACTGAATAAAAATAAGGGGGTGGTGGAAACATAAGGAAAGAAGAAATGATAAAATTTTGAAAAATCGTTTGTATATGTTTCATCTGTTATGTAACAGAGTTAAAGTGGTAGTGATCACATTATTTTCCAAATAAACACACAAAATATAAGTTATAACCAATCAGTGGTCAAGTCTGCCAACAGGTCTTAACAAGCAAGTGTTGGCAGGACAGGGTGTAGTGCATCGTCAGGAAGTCCAGCATGCATCAGCAGGAATATGTGAGTGTAATGATTTGTTTACAATACAGTTATATGCCGCAATATTGTGTCATCCAAATTTCAATGCAGGAAAAAAATCCACAAATTTACAATAAATTATTAAACTTAAGACATCATTTAAAAAATTATATTTTTTGAAATGATGCAAAAAAAAAAAAACAATACAAAACCATTAAAGGGTTAGAGATTTCCAAGGGGGCACTAATTTTTTTTTTTTTTTTTTTTTTTTTGGGAAAAGGGGGTGGTAAGTCGAATAAGTTTGGGAACCTGTGGTCTAGTCTGTACTTCATATCAAAAGGTGAAATTTAAGGCTTTTTCTGATCCTCTCTATAGCTGAAACCCTCCCTACATCCTAGTCTATAAAGTATGGTTTGTGCTGAACTACATATATAAAGACTGTTATTACCAATGGTGATGGGGCTGACTGTATGCTTATTTGTACATACCTGACAATCTGCATCAGAACAGACACTGCCAACAGCAGATAATTCTGTTCCACTCCTGGAACCACAGAAACGACATGCTTCGGAGCTACTTGTGGTAGGTTTACCTATGTGCAAGTAGAAAGCATCACATTGCAGGCTTAGATAATATAATACATGGCTAAACAATGAATAAAAAAGGTAGCACAATATATCTAAAATTTCTTGCTTTGCCTATTGGGTCAAGCAATTGTTAGAAGAGAATTCCTGGAGATGTAAGAGAATGAAATAATTTACAGAATTCCTTTTCCTCTTCAATCTGAAAACATGCTTATTTATAATGAAGAGATTTTCCTCTATGAGGTATGGTTAGCAGTAATAATACTCCTTGGGAATTTCCCACTTCATAAAAGGGATGATCACAATTTCAGGTTTTAATTAATAATTAGATGTTCAGCTATGGACTAAATAATCAGAAGTCAATTCTTTTAGTAGTCTTTTCAAAAGTAGGAGTCAAGGGGCAACTAGGTGGCACAGTGGATACAGCCTTGGAGTCAGGAGAACCTGAGTTCAAATCTGGCCTCAGACATTTGACACTTACTAGCTGTGTGACCTGGGCAAGTCACTTTACCCTGACTGCCTCACCAAAAAGAAAAAAAAAAAGTAGGGGTCAACAACATGATGCATGTGTTTTATTTTAGGACATCAAAGTGAGGAAATTGATCCAGACAAAGAAATTAAGATTTTTTTGGGGGGGGGCAATTGGGGTTAAGTGACTTGCCCAGGGTCACACAACTAGTAAGTGGCAAGTTTTTGATCTGAGACCCGATTTGAACTTAGGTCCTCCTGACCTCAGGGCTGGTGCTGTATCCACTGCGCCACCTAGCTGCCCCTTGAAACTAAGATTTTAATTATGTTTTCAGAAGCTTGTTACTTTCCTAAATTTAAGAAAGGCAGAAGGGGTTGGTAAGCAGTTCCTACAATGTAGGGAGTCCTGAAGGCACTCTTTCATTCTAGAGATGGGAGTAGGAAAAGAGCTGAACATAAAGAACCTCATATTTCTACTTCTCAACAGGTCCAACAAACAAGTTCTTGATTACGTGAAAAGATAAATCACAAGAAATGCTTTTGAGTTTCCAGTAGAGAGGAAAAGGCAAAAGGGGCAGGAAAAACTCCAAAATTTTTTTAATCTAAAGACATGAGGAATAAAAGACTGCAATCCTCACTTACTCAGGCTCACTTATGAATAGCAAAGGTTTTGTGGCTTTCAGCAGTTAGGCAAATGCCAACCTGAAACACAGGAACTGTAAGCAGCAATGTAACTTCTAAGTGAGTTTTCTTTTTTTTCTTTTTCTTTTTTTTTTTAAGGCAATTGGGGTTAAGTGATTTGCCCAGGGTCACACAGCTAGTTAAGTGTCAAGTGTTTGGTCTGAGGCTGGATTAGAACTCAGGTCCTCCTGACTTCAGGGCCAGTGCTCTATCTACTGCGCCACCTAGCTGCCCTTAAGTGAGTTTTAAATTTAAGCTGCAAGTACATAACGCAATTAGGAGCAAGTAAAAATGTATAAATTATTACTTACATAGTTATTTATGCAATTTGAAAATTATTTAATTCATGTAGGTATTTCAAAAATAGAATATTTTTTCCACCTTAGACTCAAAAGTGGTTTCATTAAGACTGTTCCAGTGCTTACAACAGAGTTGAATGAATGATTATTCCACTTAGAAAGACTGTAAGTTTGGAGAAGAGACCTTAGACATTGTTTAGACTAATGTTCTCATTATATAGATAAGTACCCTGAAGCTCAGAAGTGAAGGGACTTGCTCAAGGTCACATGGTAAGTTTGCTACAGTACTGAGCTACAGCATTCTACTTCTTTGTATTCATTACTTGTGTCATCCAGTGGATAGTATAGTGTCTGGCATACAGTAGACATTTAATAAATGCTTACTGATTGACTGATTTAGTGTTAAAAGCCAAATAGGGGTTAGAAAAAAAATTGAGAGGTATGTCTGGTTATCTCAATATTATATGCAGTGATCAGTAATGTAATTGGTAGATATCAGGAAACCTCCCCAAATCATCCTTGTATAAATGACTTCAAGCTTAACTAGTGGCCATAGTTATATTTTATTTTTTACCTGTATGTTCTCTGAACTCCACCATTGCCTTCATGGTTTTAGAATCTGCTAGTGCCATTAACCAGAAGAGTTTGGTTCTACCGCAGCCCTCATGAAGGTCAACCTTTATAGCCTCTTCCTCCTCTTTGAAGACCTATTAGTTTCATGAAAGGCAGGGAAAATAATAATTACATACTGATAAATGTTTATTAATAATAAAGCACTATGAAAACATGAAATCTTCACCTGTCTCTGATGAGTTTTGGTTCGGCGATGAAGATGAAGGAATCTGTCACAGTCAGTGCACAGATTTCCACACACATTGCATAAGATGATTGCTGCAGTTTCACCATCATCATGATTATCACACATAGGCTGAAAAACAAGATAAATGCTAAATAAAATGAAAAAATAAAGTCCCAGGAAGTGACACAAATTAAATGTTACTTATTGAAACCTCAGTAAGTCATTGTCAAGCTCATTAGGTTTCTGCTTGGAAGGCCAAGCAGAATCACAGCAAATATATTTAAATAAAACAAAACAAAAAGTTATAGACTTGAATACTTTGTTCAATGATATCTAAAAATTGTTCACATTTCATTGTAGGAAACAAAGTCAACATTAAATCTAATACTATACTAAATGAACAGTACTTCTAAAAACCTGCCAACAGTCTTTACACACTAGCATTAAAATGTAGCTCTTCAGTTCATTCTAAATAGGATTTTAATAGATCATGAATATAAAATATAAAGTGAAAATTACATCAAAGTTACCTTTAGATCAGGAGTTCTTTACCTATTGCCTTTGAACTTATTTTTAGAATACTTTGATAACTGCACTTTTATGTAACTGTTTTGCTTTGTAACCCTATGTATTTTATGCATTTGAAAAGAAGTTTATAGGGCTTGCTAACTGTCAGAGGGATCCATGATGCACAAAAGAAGTTAACAATCCCTGGTTTAAATGCCTAAATATATTCTTAAAAACACCTTTTATGAATCCAGATAACTGCCGAAAGTGCCTTACTAACTAGTGTATATAACTAGTATACGTATACTAGTGTATAAAATAGTGAAAACACTATTTTATGAATACATAAGTGAATGGCAAGGAATGCTGTTTTTCCTGTTCCCTCCTCTTTTCAGCTTATTTCTTTTTAGGCAATTGGGGTTAAGTGACTTGCCCAGGGTCACACAGTTAGTAAGTGTCAAGTGTTTGGTCTGAGGCCAGATTTAAACTCAGGTCCTCCTTTCAGCTTATTTCTAAGGATAGCTTTTTTTTTTTTTTTTTTTGAGGGGGGTTAGACTTATAATTTCATTGAAGTCAGGAATTACCCAGCGAGGAATCTTCCTCTACCAATGTAGATTGGATTCTGCACTTAATAATCTTAGAGAATTGTCTGGGGCATAGAGCAGGTAAGTGACTTGCACCAGGTTACACAACTAGAATATGTCTAAGTTTGAACTTGCACCAAGAGGCTGGCTCTTTATCCACACATTGCATGGTTTCTGAATGATTTCTATATGCAGTACAAAATTTAAAGACAAGAACATACCATGTCTAGCAAAATAAGCTTATGATGAAATGGAAAGGCAAGACAGAGAAAAGAGAAGGGAAAAAAACCCCACTGTTATCAAATCATTTGGTTACTTACATTTCAACCTGAATTACGAAGATGGAAACTTAATGAGGGCAAAATAATAAAGTAAGTAATGATGGAAATTTAACCAGTTTTGATAAAATTTTTTCACTCTCTATACTACTGCACACTTGTTCAGGGACCTACTTTTCTCCTTAAAGTATAACAGCAGCTAAAACGTTTCAAAAGCTAAAACTTCTGCTCTTACCATTTGTTTCTGCTGTCCATCCTTTCCCATCCATCTTCCTGAAGAGAGCCGATCCACATGATCCTGATCTAGAACACACAGTGATGCCAGGGCAAGCCAGAGCTGTTCAAGGGAACAGGGACAGGAGTGAACACTAACTGAGGAAATGACATTGGCAGTATAATTCCTGAGAGGTCAGTACAGTGTCCTGCTTACTTACTCTGCATAGCATTGAGCACATACCATGCTCAATAAGACATTTTAAAGTAGGTTTTGATAATAAAGTCATATACATTTTTGAATCTCTCAGAGCACCTCATACTGTGCCTCAATAAGTATTTGCTATTTAATGAAAATTCAGGAATCATTTCACGTTAACTTTCCTATATTTTGCTTTTACAAAAAGTATAGATTTTTAATTTGAAGTGATGATGATAAAATGGATTCTGAATTATCTGGAAAATAGTAAGTTGTATTCAAATTAAGGTCTAATGAAGAAATAAGGGAAGTATACAATATATTCTAGAAAGTTATCATCACACATGGTTAAATAAAAAATGGTGTGTGGTTCAAGTGGCTGTGCTTTAGTCATCTACAAAATACATATATATATGAATACTTCATTTCTTAGGATTCTTGATAAGTGAGAGATATTGCTTTATTTTCTCCCACCTTTTCTTCTTTAGAGTAACTGCTCTCTTTTATACACATGATGCTTTAATGTTTATAAGGGGCTTTTCCATACAATGAGTCTGTGAAGCAGGCAGTAGAAGTAATATTATTTCCAACTTTTACAATGAAGGAAACTGAAGGTCAAAGCAGTAAAGTGACTTGTCTGCAGTCTCAAGGCTGCTAAGTGAATGGAGACAGGTCCAAATCCAGGGTTTCCTGACCTAGTGCTTTTTCTACTTGCCACACCAGCCTAACTCACTTATCCCACTCCAAAAAGAAAAAAAAATTCTTGGTTTTAAGTCTAAGTTACATAATGGATCAATGTAGTGTCAGCATTTACTAACTTTCTTGACATTTTCTCCTCTTACTAAGAGAAGGTAGGTAGAAAAGTGGAGCATGCAGATTTGAAAGAATGTAGCCAAATCTGAATACAGACTTCCTCACAGTAGGGCCAATATTTCATGTAGGGTCAGATATTCAGAAGTAAAACAAGCCATTAAGAATGATCAGAACACAGAAAAAGCCACAGTAATTCTCATTCCTCTCAGAGGAGGAGCTCCACTTTCAGATCTTTAGAAACATGGGGTAGCAAATAGTTTTACCTTCGATATCTACAACCAATACACACACAGTGATGTTAGTTTATATAGTGTTTAAGGCAAACAGAAGCACAGAGTATCATATTAGCATAGTTTTTAGAATAATAAATATCAAGAAAATTCTTTAGGATTAAAGTCTGGGTTCCCTCCCTCCCTGGCTGTGGGATGCACTGAATGCCTCTTCCCTCTCCACAAGAAAAACAGTATGGATACTATTAAAGAAATGCTTTTAAGTGTTTAATCTGACTGCTCTTCCGTTTCCATCAGTCATAAGATCCTTCGTGCTTTCTCAGGAGCTAGTTATGCTGATTTTGTTGTCACTGCCACACAGCTTTCCACTCTTAATTCATGAACCTAAGATGGCTTGGAAACAAAAAGAAATTTTCCCTTAAAAAAAAATTTAAAACATTTTCCTAAGCTACATATTTCAAACGTGGCTGCTCGGCTCCACTCTTGTATCTGTGAGTTACAGCTGGCGGGTCCAGATCTACGATTTGGCACTAATACAAAGCAGGCTGGAAAATTTCAAATCCAGACACAGAAGGGATATTATAAAAAAAAAAAAGTAGGCCTTGCTGGTTTAGCGTATGCCAGACTGTACCTAACTTTGGTAGACCAACCAAACTTTTGTAGAAAGAAGACTAAACATGCTGCTTGTATAGGATTTGTCTCTTTTGTAAGGAAAAAAAGGGTGTGTGTGTGTGTGTGTGTGTGTGTGTGTGAAATAAACAGAAAACCTCAATGCAGAATATGCATAGCATTTTGTTTCAACCACTTCTCAGTGTGAAATTGAGCTAATTTTAAGTAGGGTTTCCTCATGGTAGAGTTACAAAATAATTGCCAAAATTGTTTGTATCCCATTACCCAGAAACACTGATTCTTTTTAAATTGTAGTTTTTAGATTTGTAAAGCTAATTCTGTTTCTTTAAATCTGTCATAAAGATGTTTCTTTTTCCTTGAATAAAGAGCAAACTATTATCACACATTTTGATAGCATTCCTCGACACAAGATTGACAAATGATATTCTGTAATGAAAGTGTGTCACACATTATCCTGTTTTAATTGCCATTTGCCTGGATTCTAATTTTTTATTATCATTGCAGATGTGAAAATTGTGCATAAACCTATGGAATTTATGTAAACATGTATAAAATAGAATTGGAAATAACTAAGTTCTTGTTGCATACAGACTGGTAACACGATGTAGTTATGTGTACATGACGTATTCTGGAAACTGGATCATAGTCATTATCTATAGATGGGTTTGCATGAATTTTTTTATGTAATTTTTTTTGTTTCTTAATTTGTGTTGCATCTATTACTTGTGATCATGTGCTCATGCCTTATATCATGGAATAGTTTAGTTCAGTGTGCAAAGTTTAGTTCAGTATTAGTGCCTGAACTCAGCATTGGATGGTAATTGATTCTAATTGTACCTAACGGTGACCCCAAATGGTGGTACCTAATTCTGTAGAAAGAGCGTTGGAAGTGGCCTGTTGCATTGTTGCATTTGTTTTCTAAACTGTTAAAAGAATATCAATAAAAACCCTCTTTCTAGGAAAAAAAAGAAACATGGGTTAGGCTCCAACTCTGTTACATTATCATTAAGCAGTATGTGCAAGAGTCAACAAGGAATAGTCTCAGGCATAATGAATAAGAGGGAGTTCTTTTTCCCCCCCTTTGCTAGGCAATGGGGTTAAGTAACTTGCCCAGGGTCACACTCCTACTAAGTGTTATGTGTCTGAGGTCAGATTTGAACTCAGGTCCTCCTGAATCCAGGGCCTGTACTCTATCCACTGCGCCACCTAGCTGCCCTGGGAGTTTTTAAAAATGCATAGGAAGAAAGGAATTAGAATTGGAGAAGGGAAGAGTTTGAAGAAAGTAGGAGGGGCACATTCTAGGACATGGGATAGTGCCATCAATAACTGCCTCTGAGGATCAGCACATGTATGATGCTTAGCCACTGTCTGGTACATAGTACGCTATAAACTGAAGTTAAACAGAAAATTTAAATTTGGGGAATGATGACTTTATAAACTCAAATAGGTGATTCTCTTCCTCTTCTAGTTATCATCTCTTTCTAATGCTGTCCCACTGCCTTGCCACTATTCCTGTAATTTTTCTGGAAAATCTATACTAAAGAAAGATGAGGAAACCAAAACAGACTCAATACATGCCATCTGAAGTAGCAAATATCCATATTTTAATCTTTAAGAGTGGTTATATTCTCATGGTGTCTCCATTTTTATGCCTTTCTAATTTGCTAGATTTAAGACAATGAGTCAATTTAAAAATATTAAATGCTTACTTCTTACACAACACTATGCTGCGTATTGAGGGAAATGCAAAATTTAGATAAGGCATGGTGCCTGCTGTCATGGAATTTATATTTCAAACAGAGAGTAGGGTACTGGCTACTCCGGAGAAATTTTTCTTAAAAAGACAGGGATGCTGTCTGGTAGGACCAAATATAAAACTCAGAACTAAGTACTGCATACAGTGATGATGAATCTGAGAAAAGTTTAGCAAAGGAATAACCAAACATTATAGAAAAAAAAAATGCCTAGGTAATCTGTTTTATGACAATTAGTATAAACTTTTGATCCAAAAAAAACATGTACATAAAGCAAGAATAAGGTGATGCAAAACAGTTATAACCCCAAACTATGATTCTATAATAGTCATACTGATGCCACGATTAGAAACAAATTTAGTTCAATATACTCTGAACTAGTGATGAAGTATTTGTTTGTGCTCCCCTCCAAAATTTTAAACATTTAAAAATGACTTTGATTAGATAAAATCTGGTTCAAATCTAACACTCAAAAAGTACATACTATGATGTACACAGATCCAATAATAATGATATCTCCTCTTCATTATCAAGACCCATATTGATATAGAATTTTAAGGTTTACAAAACACTTTCCTCGCAACAACCCTGTGAGGTAGGTAGTGCAAGTGTTTGTATCTCCAGACATTTACAGATGAGGAAAATGAGGTTGAGAAGTTACAAGATCTGTTCATGGTCACACACATAAAGAATCTGCCTAAGCCTAGGATTTGAAACAAAGTCTCTAGACTTCAAGTTCAACCTTCTTTCCACTACATTGTAATTGCTTCTCAAATGAAAAACAACAACAATAAAACCAAAACAACAAATCTTACCCTGGTTGTTGCAATACATCTCACTGGAGATCTATATTCTTCCTCCATTTTTGTCAAGGCAATGATGGTTTCTGCAATGGCATTTTTGGTAACACGGGACCATGCTTCAGATAGATGACCCTATTGAATAGTACAAGATATTTTTAGGAGATAGGCAGATACAAACAGATTAACTTAGTCATGCTGATAAGTAACAAAAAAGAAAATTATCTTAGATCAAGTTATCTCTTTCAAATACAATTAACTTTCTGACACTGTACATACTATGCAGTTTGAGATCAAGGGGCAAAGATTTCTGGGAAAGAAAATCTATTCTAAAAGAAAAAATTACTATTCTAACCCAAGAGCAGTAAACAAAAGTTTAAAGTTTTATTTCTCTTCCTCCTAATGATTTCACAGGTATTTCTTTGTAGACATAGATAAACACAGAATGGAAACACTAATCCAGCCATGCTTTAGAAAATGCATTTTAAGACAACACTTAAGCAACTTGTTGCTTGTTAGCTAATGAGCTAATTAAATAGTGCTTCCGATGAAAGGCCCTTTTTGGAAACTAAGGGTCTACATATATTTCAAGTTATTTCTCAAGAATATAAAAAGCTTGTTACCATCAGTCTAAATTGTTTCCATCTCATCAGCACTCTGAAAAAAACCCCATTCTACCAAAACAAACAAACAAGATACTTATGGTGTTTAGATGAGAAAGCTGTTAAAAATGTACCTTCCACCTGAATGAAATGCCCTTCCTCATCTTACCCAATCCCTGTTCAATTGCCTCCTGGGTCTAGAAAGTCCTTTTAGCACAGAGCAATCAAATCTCTCATTTCTTTTTTGCTCATGTATCATTTGCCCATTTCAGTTATTTGGCAATTTAATCACGTAGTGTGTACTGACAAATTATTTACTGCTTGAATTATTTAACTTTTCATGACTATGCTTTGTTTTCCCAAGCCTGTAAGCTCTCTGAGGACAGGGACCAAGTCTTAATTCTCTTTTTTGATTAGCAGTATCCTTTGCATACAGTAAGCACTCAATTGATATTTAATTGGTTTATATGTTGCTAATTTTAAGGTTAAGATACTTCCCCAATTTACCAGTTGGCTTATTATACACCTGGTATTCAGATTAATGAACCCTTGCTAAATTGACTCTGAGCAGCTAAAAGCCTGCAGTATTTCTCTGTTCTGACTGTAAGCAGCAACTAATGAGTAGCAAACAGAAGCATGAAAGTGATCTTTAATAAAGCAACCATGTAAATAGCAGGCTGAATTAAGTTCTTACTAGGCTGCAGCTGCTGAGAGACAGAGCAGAACAAATGGGTGAGCCAACTAATATACTGCGTTGAATTTTTTCATTCATTTGTTCATTCACTCAACTAAATGCTTATTTAGGTCCCACACTGTATAGCACACTATGAAAGACACTGGGGAAGATACAAAGATAAACAAGACATGGCTCCCTTATAATATTGTAAAATCAACTGAAGGTAAGCAATGATGAGTCTCAAGAAGTGCTTTTAATTATTGACAAGAGGAAGAGTTACAGGAATGGATAGTATTGTAGAGAGAAATATTGCTATTCAACCTTTGCCTCCCCATTAAACTAAATGCACTCAAGAGTTCATGTCCCCACTTAAACTATTACCTGGAATTCAGCTTCCATTGCTGTACTCTGTAAACATGAGTGGAACATGAGCTACATGGTGGCCTATGTTACCCAGTATGGTCTGTCTGTCTATATTAGCTTCTGATTATCCTAGCTGAATGCAAAGTTAAGTAATGGGCAAAGGACAAATTTCTTTAGGTCATTATTTATTAACCATCATCTTCCCTCCTTTGACACCTTTGCCAGAGGGACACAGGATATACCTCTGGGAGTTGAGACAGATAAATAGCAGTGTGCCACAACTAAAATATAAAGTGCATCATAATTAGAAATAATGCCTTATGTGAGAGGGTTTTGTTTTTAAAATCAGGGAAGTGCAAAATCCTTTTAAACTTTTTGCTTTCCAAAATCTGGGTAAAAATAATATTCTGTTGCTTTAAATTTAAACACTTATTAAATAATATGTTGAAAGAAACAGTTCTGAACAGAGAGATGAAGTGATTTACTAACTTTCCAACCCTTGTAACAATTCTGAAAGCAGCTTCATTTGAAAATTTGGCAGAATTCTCACAGAAGGAATAAATTTAATACTAACCACAAGCATGTTACATATGATATATGGAAATGTTGGCATCTTAAGGAGCACATGAAGATAGTCTACTTATAGTATGGAATGAAGAGGAATACTGCCACTGATGAAATGATGGATAGTTTGATGTACTGAAGAAGTAACATTCAGCAGAATATTATAAAAGTGCTTTAATTTATTGTAACATGCAAAAAAAAAAATTCCCACAAGGCTGATGCCTTCCTCAAAATTCTGCAGAATAAATTCTTTATTTTGGCTAATCACACTATTTAGTCTCAACAACAAAATTCTCAGGAGAATGGAAACTTACTGCTGCCATGTCCTTTATAAGTTTAATAATGATCTCTGAAATCTGGGTGGGAGTTGAGCCCTTCATCCACCAATGACTTTCACCTCGTCGAATATAACTACAGAAGATAATTAACAAAAATATTTTATCAAAACAATGTATAATAGTAACCATAAATGACTGAAAAATCCAAAGAATTGAGGTTTCATTATCCAACTTAAATGACTTCAGAAGTCAGTTTGTGCATTGCTTATTTTGGAATATATACATTTTTTACAGAAATAAACAGGATATTTCATTTGGCAGGAGTGAAGAGAGGAGACTTAAAGAGAACAAGTTCTGGATTTGGAGGCAGAGGACTGATTTCAGTTCCCAGCTATGATATGATTAAACCCTCTGGATCTGTTTCCCCATCTGCAAAATGACTTCGGAGTAGCCTTTTAGTTAAAAATATAAGATCTTAAGGATCTGATTTTATCTTTTAAACTCAATGTAACAAAAGACTTTAAACATAGCTCTATGGAGAGTACTGAGAGAACTTAACATATAGTTAATCTCATTAATTTTCATATCATCCTTGTAAAAATGGTAGTGGTAACTGGCAGACAAATTTTTAGGACATGAAAACTTGAAGGAAGAGAAAAGTGATTTATCTAAGATAAATGAGTGAATCGATGATGTGAATATAGATCACTGAATTACAGAACGACAGAACTGTAAGAGATCTTAGAGGTCATCTAGTTTGACTTAGTCATTGTGAACTTGCCTGAAGTCAAACATGTAGTTCTTTGACTAGAAACTAGCTGTAGCTGTATTTTGAATTCCCAAATACAGGGTCAATTCATTTATTGGCTTAAATATTAAATAACTCTCACCAACCTGGAATTGAAGATCATTGGAAGGGTAACTGTTGTAACCCCTTTCCCTGCAGCAGTGCCAGCTGTTCCTGTGATGGTAGTTCCTTTGGCCTTTAACTGTACTGTGAGGGCTTTGGCTATGCATCCCAGGAACATATCCAAGATACCTAGTTTATTCCAGTCTCCTTTTTCTGTTGAATGAATTATATCACTAATATCAGCTGGTGGAAGGGACTTCACACCTATGATGCTGGCCAGGCGATTAGGAGTCACTTCAGGCAAAACCCGCCTTAGCAAAGAGGTCACCTAGTAGCAAAATCATAAAAGAGTAGTTCAAAGCAATATGCATCAGAGGAGGCATCTTCACCACTGGTTGTGAATTGGCATTTTCTTTACTATAGACGGCATGCTCCCATGTTTCAATGGACTCAAATGAAAAGTGCATGTTATTAAACTTTTGAATTTTTGCTTTCCTAATGGTTCAGCTGTTATCACTAGAAAAGCTTCAAGGATAAAAGATGAATTTCTCAAATGGTCATTACTTCACCGCACAAAAAACACCCCATGTCTTTTGTGGTAGGATTAGAATAGATTTATCATGTATTAAGTTAACATTAGCATGACAGAATATACTTTGCTTTTTCAAAGCCTCAACTCTGTCATGAAAGCATGGAATTAAAATGAGAGCAAAAAGCCTAACCTACTTTTAAAACCTTAATATAATTTCCTTGGAGTAACATAGTTTAATAAATTGTTGTTACCTGTCTCTGCACTCTAGGAGACGCCGTGTGTAGCAATGAAAAGAGATCCTGAAGCAGAGTTAGTTGCTGAGCAAGGTACTGTCGGCCCACATTAGACCCACTCAATGCTAGGACCATGGAGAGCAGTTCAAAGCAATATGCATCAGAGGAGGCATCTTCATCATTGGGTTGAGAATTAGCATTCTCCTTGCTGGAAATTGCATGTTCCCACTCTTCACGGACTCGGGTAGCTTCCATTCTAATGGCCTGGACTATATGGGCACATACCTACATAAACCAAACGACAGTACATCAGACAGAAATTTTAAAAAAAAAAGCACATTTTTGGTATCATGTGCACCCTGTAAATACACGAACAAGAATTGATGATCCATTTCATTCTGCTAAACAATTCTCTACTATATCTATTCCACCATTTTTATAGTATGTATTAATACCAATTATGGAAAATAATTCTGAATAATAAAATTTTCTTCACTTTGTGGACTTTTGATACATTAAGATTATAAATTTTAAATTTAAGTAAAGTACTAATGGGTAATTATCAATTCATGGAAAAGGGCATACACAGTTTTATAACTCTTTTGATATAATTCCAGACTGCTCTCCAAAAATGGCTGAATCAATTCACAGCTCCACCAACAGTGTATATTAGTGTCCCAATTTATCCACATCCCCTCCAACATTTGTTATTTCCTCCTTTTATTATTTTAACCAATCTGACAGGTAAAACACTAAAGCTGTAAGTGCTTTAAGCAGTTCTCTAAGACTGTATATTGCAAAGATGTTAACTGACATTGATAGAGAGAGTTTTCTCATTTGGGAGATCTGTATATCAATGAAATCATAAGTGCTATCCTTATCCCCTATAACTAAATAGTGCTTTAAGGTTTGGAAAACACTATAAATACATGATTTCATTTGTTCCTTATAGGAACTTTCTGAAATAGGTACTGTAAGTATTATGAATTATTATTATTACCATCACATAGAGTAGGAAACAGAGTATGCCTGTGGTCACATAACCAGTAACAGCTAGAACTAGAATTTGAATCCACAACTTGCTGACTCAAAGTCCAGCAGTCTTTCTACACTTCAGTCTTTAGTACCCTGATTTAGAATAGTCAGAGAATAGGTAGTTATGCATTATATTTAACAGGTAACTAAAGGTTAATTATTTAAGTTGGAATTTTCACTGAAAAGTGAAATTCATTGGCCTGTAATTTGTAGAGTGTTCTGTTCCCTTTTTTGAAAATCAGGACATCTTTTGCTTTTCTCTAACGTGGTGCTGCTTCTATCATTTTCTATGATCTTTCAAGTATCAGTAAGAGTGTCTTAGCAATCATATCTGTCGATTCTTTCACTACCCAAACATGTAGTTCATCTAGGCCAGCTAACTTTCTTTTGAGTTCATCAAACACAGCCAAGTTTTACTACTAGCTCTTTTCTAGCATTCTCTCTTTGGTGAACTTTGGGTGTCTCAGCTGTTTTTCTTTTTCTGTTATTGTACTTTCTCTTTATTACCATAAATAATGCATAGGTATTTTCTCCCTTTCCCAATATTTTTGGTTGGAAGCTCTTCCTTTAGATTGTGAAACAATGGGGACAGCTAGGTGGCGCAGTGGATAGAGCACGGGCCCTGGAGTCAGGAGGAGCTGAGCTCAAAGCTGACTCAGACACATGATATTTACTAGCTGTGTGATCCTAGGCAAGTCACTTAACCTCAATTGCCTCACCAAAAAAAAAAAAATAGATTTATGAAACAACGAGCAAATACATTTTACCAGTGTTTGTTGGCTGTACTTCATTCTTGGCCAGGGAATCTATTCACCCTCATTATTTTCATAGCCTCTGCAACCCGCTTTCTAAAGTTAATATACTTGCCTTCCTCTTAAATCTAGGTAACACAGTGGATAAAGCACTGGGCCTGTCAGGAAGATCTAAGTTCAGATGCGCCTTCAGACACTTACCACTCGTGTGACCCCAAGCAAGTCATTTAACCTTTGCCTCAGTTTCAAAAACTGGGGCAAATAGGGATAATAATAGCCCTGACCTCATAGAGTTGTAGTGAGGATTAAATGAGATAACATTTGTAAAACACTTAGTACAGGGCCTGGCACGTACCACTTAATAAATGTTTTTTCCTTTGCTTCCCTTCCTTTTCACTCATGTACCTTTCCATTTTCTTGCATTCATGGAAACCTGGGTCTCTCCGCTGGATACTATATCCCTTGTCACCATCTCCAGGATATCCATGATTAGGATATCCACACACTAGGGCAGGAGGAGAAGTAGGCATATTTCTTTCTCCTCACTGACAGTTCCAGAACTCCCCTCTGACATTGCTGCTCACCAAGTTCTCCTCTTTCGGAGTTCACTTCACCTAGAGTTATCACCTTATCTGGATCTCAGTGGCAGTTATCTACTGCGCAATAAATCAATAAGCACTTTGTTTACAATGTGCCAGGCACTGGGGCACCAGGTCATTCTACCTTTTTTTTTTTCACCTATGAGAGGATTGGACTAGATGGTGTCTGAGTTCCTTTCCAGCACTAGTCCCATGATTTTCCTGGATACACTTCACTCCACTGCTCTCTCCTTGTTTTCTTTCTGCCTGACGACTCATTTTAGGATTATCATTCACGTCTTGCCCCCCAACTGTGGGTTATTCCAAGGCTCTGTCCTGGGCCCTCTTTTCTTCTTTCTTTAGATGACCTCATTTGTTATATGGACTCCATTATCATCTTTATGCAGAACTATCTATCAAGTTCTAGCATCTCTCCTGAGCAATAATCTGATGCTATCAATGGTTTACTGTATATAGTCCCAGTAAAATGTAAGCTCTTTGAGCACAGGGACTATTTTTTCATTTTGTTTTTTATATCCACAGTGCCTAGCATAGAAGGCTTAAAAACACAGTAGGTATTTAATAAATGCTTGCTGGATTGGATTCTTAACACAGTGCTTGGCACGTAATATGCACTTAACAAATGTTTGTTGATAGAATGATTCACTGCCAAACTCCTTTTAAAAACTGAATATATTTGATACCTCTACTTACTCATTTCCCAACATCTAGTTTTCTTAGCTCCTGTGAGCAAATAAGAGTCTTTTCTTCTAGTCAGCTAAATGACCAATGACAAGTGTTCAGTTGCTTTTTGCTGAAAGTTTTTTTTTTCTCCTACTTACTTCCAGGTTTATAGGGGCTTCCGCTGATAGACAATGCTGGACATTTAACATCTGGCTAATTGAATTATTACTATAGTAATTCAATTGAGTAAACCAACCTGCTTCTGTAAATTTGTTAGCTTACTCCTACTGAATATGATTCCAACCATGTGTTCTTTCAGGTCAGCATCTGATGTTGCCTTTGTGGGAAAACAAAACAAAACAAAAAACAAAACAAATTATCTTCAAAATTGATTTGTCTGACATTTCAAATTATTTTCTATAAAAATTAGTGAATTTTCAAAAAAGCACAGTGACTTCAAATTGAGATAGGTGAGACAAAGCAAATAGATAAACTTTGGCTGTTTTGTTTTTTACTCTGAAAGTTGTGAGAAATCAAGAAAGTAACAGACAAGATGTCCCAAGCTTGAAAGAAAAAAAAATTTTTTTTCAAAATTTTGTCCAGGGCAATCACAGAAGTTCAAGACTAGAACAGTATACTGTAGACACCAGATGTTATTTTGTTTTTCGGGAAACCTTTTGTAACTGCTTCAACTACCAACGATTCTTTTCCACCTATGAAGTCAAATTTTGAGTACAGTTTGTATCATTTATTACAGGCAACCTGACAGTGGAGAGAGTACCTGGCATTTGGAATTGGGAATTTAAATTCTTGCCTTAGATACTTAGTAGCTTTTGTGACCCTTGGGAGTTACTTAATCACTATATGCTTCAGGTAAATCCATAGGACTTAACTGCTCAGTCCTGGAGCGCCTGTGTTGGTTGAAAAGCATTCCCATTCCAGGAGTTCCTTACATTAACAAAATCACGGATTCTTCATGTATCACCTGTTTAATTATTTTATTATATTTTGTATTATGCTCTAGTTGCTTTCTGTATACATCTTGGTTTCCAAACATTGTAATATAAGTTCCCTGAAGGCTAAGGTTTTCTCAGTTTTGAAAATCTTATTTTCTACGATGCTTAGATCTTTTCCGTCCCTTCATACCAAATCACTGACTAGATGTAATAAATCCTAACTATATGACAATTCTTACATTAAACCCTTCCTCTCTATACTGCTGAAGCCCTTCTCATTTTGACCCTCATCACTTCAGGCCAGGACTATTGTGACAGCCTTTTACCTTGTCTCTTTGCTTTCAGGTCATTTCCTTCCCTGCTAAAATAATCTTACTAATACAGTCTGACTGACTAGGTTAGACCAGACCTTTTTAAAGTCTTCAGTAGCCTTTTATGACCTCCAAGATAAATTATAAACTTGTCAGCCTGGCATGAAAGGTCCACTCTAATTGAACTACACATTCTCTTTCATGTACTCCAGATGTAGACCAATGGCACTACTAGCTATTTCCTGACTTTATACTGCTTTCTCCTATCTCTTTGCATTGCAATGGTTTGCATCCCCAAAACTGGCAGCGTGCTTGCTCCTCATCTCAGGTGAGGCCAGGCTCAGGGGCTGCCTTTTTCATTAAATACTGTTTGATCTTCCCAACTCAAAGTGACTTCTCTTTCCCCCATCACATATTACTACACATTATACTTATCTATGTATATGATACAGTTCCCTATTAGCATGTAAGCTAAAGGCAGAGACTATGTCAATTTTCATCTTTGCCTCCGTGGTGCTTAGTAAAAAGCTATGCACATATTAGGCACTTACTGTTAGCCTGAAATAGATGAATTTGAATTTTTAAAGCCTCCTGCTGGTCTTTAGCCAAAAGGCTTGTTTTATAGGGAGGACATGTATGTTTTACACATTTTTTTTAAATTAAGGATAACAGACCAGATAAGTACACTTTGTGGCTAAAGCAAAGTTTACATCAATTCAAACTACTAGACTAAAACAACCCCATTTTTTTTTTTTTGCTAGATTTCATTTCTGTTGTAGGAAAAATATAATTCCTGTAAAAGATACATAGAAAGCTTGTATAACATGATCTTAAAATGTATAGAAAGAGTCAGAGCAACATGTTCTAACTTGGGAGAAGCTAAAAACATTGACCAAATTGAAATAAGACTGAAGTGGGAAAAGGAAGAAAAGGAAAGAAAGATTTGTAGAATACAACTAAATACATTGTGTACTTTTTCCTCTCCTTCAGGTGAAGACAGAAGTGTTTTTTCCTCTTGTTCTGGTGTAGGTTCAGCATCTCCTGAGATAAGTTTTCCAAATACCTGTTAGGAATGAAAGAAAAATTAGAAATTACTATAAAAAAAAAAGGAAACCTATTTGGAGATTATACTATCAAGTCTGTTATCCTCCAAGAATTCCACTATTTAGAATTCCAATTGAAAATGGTATCAGATAGCTACAAAAATTTCCAAATAGCTATGTACTCATTTCTTTTACCTTCTATACACAAGTCACCTTGTTGGTTGTCTACTTAAAGACCTGAAGCTACTACTTCCTGATTGCTTCTCCATGAAGATGTCCTGAGAATGACTTTACTATTTCTGACAGCTCCTTTGGGCTCTTGATTTGCATCTCTTTCTGTCTATGACATGTAGGTATGTAACATGGATTATTATATGCAACTCATACTCAGTGTCTGCAAAACCAAACTTTACCTTTCCCCTTTCTTCTAATTCTACTATTTCGATCAGTGGCATGACTATTCATCCATTTTTGAAAATTGTGAAACTATGATACTACCCTTGACTCTTTCGTCTCTTTCACCTTATGTGAATGAAATATTTATATCCAATTAGTTACCATGTCCTGTAAATTCTACTGAGCACAAGTCTGAACAAGGACAAAGTTATTCCTGAATACCTGCCTCCCAGAGAAGAATTTACTAAGCAGTATGATCCCCAAATCAAGTTGTCTAGTAGTCCAAAAGGAATATTTCTGGGATAGCTCCAGCCTTGGGGGTTGCCTCAAGAGTAATTCCATGTTTGAGTTTAAGGAGCTGACCTTTTAGAGATAAAGTGAAGTAGGTGAGCAACTTCCCCTTTAAAACAGAAGAGAGTTTCTTACATGAGGCTTTTGACTGGAGAAGCAATAAGAGCTTAGACTCACAATATGGAGGAACAGAACATGAATAGCTATATTTTGCTTTGTACTATTACTGTGAGTTACTCAGATGGTGCAGGTCCAATAGGAGGCAAAGCGGGAGGTGAAGGAGGAGGCCACAAAGTGTTTGTCTTCTAGGAGGAGTCTAACCTATAGGGTGGGGCTATAAGATTAGAAGGGACTGGGTAGAGCCATGTGGGAAAGAGGGATGCTAAGATGTTGCTAAGCTTTTCCCTTCTTAGACCAGCTTTTGAATTGTTGTGACTGTCTTATGTGTTATGGGTATGTTAATGAACTCCTAAAAATCCGTCACACTTTTGCATTTGCTATGATGAGAAATAAAGGCTGATCTCTACATGATATGCATTTATTATCTTGGGTGTATATACAGGAGCTAGGGACTCTATAGTCACATTTGTGGAATGCAAGATACAAGCTATACATGAATACATAAACTACATACAGCTTTTCACAGGTAAACACCAGAAGGGGGCAAAAGAACAAAAAGAGTGTGATTAGTTCCACAGACTAGAAATGGTTCATATAAACTTAGAGCTTAGGGGGAACAAAGTTATACCTATTTAACATTCACTCATGTGTATACATATTGAATACACAGTAAGCTCCTTGGGCTCCCTTCTCTCCTCTCTCTACACTTAGTCTCTAGGTATCCCTATTTAAATATTATCTGTATGCATAGAGATTTATATATCCAGCTTCAGTGTCTCTTCTATAGTCTCTCACCATTAAAAGCCTAGTGAATTCTGAAATAGATGCTGTCCATACATTTCAAATTCAACATATAAAACAGAACTCATTATTTTTCTCCCCAAACTCATTCCTTTTCCAAAATTCCATTTCTTTTGAAGGCACTCCTACCTCTCCAGTCTCCCAAGTTTGCAACCTTGGGGTCATCCTTGACTTTTCACTTTCTCTCACACCATGTATTGAGTCAGTTCTTAAATCTTGTTATATACAGTTCCACAATATTTTTCACATCCATTCCCTTCTTTCCACTCACACGGCCACCACCCCAGCTCTGGTCCTAATTACCTTGAGCCCAGACTTTTACAACAACCTCCTAATTGCTCACCTTGAACTTTCTCTATAATCTCTGATTTGTTCTCCACACAGCTGTCAAAGTGACCTTTATAACATATAGGTCTGACTGTGTCATTCTGCTCAATAAACTCGAGTGACTCCCAGTTATCTTTAAGATCACATGCAAAATCTTCTGTTTAAAGCATGTTTAAAGCTCTTCACACGTTGGTTCTAACCCATCTTATCCTACATTACTCCCCCCTCATGTTCTCTTTGATCCACCCAAACTGGGCATCTTACTGTTTCCTCACACATGACAGTTATATTTTCATGTTGTTTTGCCCATTAGAATATAAATTCCATGAAGGCAGGGGATGTTTTAATGTTGTCTTTGTACCCAAGTGTTTGTTGATTGGTTGCTTCTCTTTCTGCTGATTTTGATTCAAATGTTTCCCATCATGCTTCCCCCTGCTGGTTTCTACATAGGGCCACGTCCTCCTCCTTCTCAAAACCCTCCACTGTATTTTTACTGTTTACCAAGTAAAGATCAAGCTCTTCTGCCTAACATTTCAGACTGGTGCTGTTTCCCTTTTCCCATCTCATTCACAGTGTTCCTATAAAATGGCCCCCCACTTTTGCACATATCTCCCCAATTCTAGGTCTCCATCTCTGCTATTCTTTGTATCTAGAATTCCATTCCTTCCCTTCTCGGTCTGATGAATTCTTTTGTGGCCTTCCAAAACTAACTAAAATGCTCTCTTTTCCATGAAGTCTTCCCTGTTTTCCCATTTCTCCATCCACTCTGTCACTACTGACTGATAAGGATGCACTTCACATAACACTTTGTTTGGGAACTCTTTAATGCAATTTACAGTGAACACTATTGGTTATTGCTAGTGTCTGAGTAGGCTATAACCACCTATTAAACTGTAAACTACATGAACAGAGGATTTGTGTCTTTTAAAATTTTTTTATTAATTTATTTATTTTTAGTTTTCAACATTCACTTTCACAAGATTTTGAGTTCCAAATTTTCTCCCCGTCTCATCCCTCCCCCAATCCCAAGACAGCATGCATTCTAAATACCCTTTCCCCTAATCTGCTTTCCCTTCTATCTTCCCCCCTTCTCTTATCCCCTTCCTCATCTATTTTCCTGTAGGGCAGGATAGATTTCTATATCCCTTTGTCTGTATATCTTATTTACCAGTTGCATGTAAAAACAATTTTTAACATTTGTTGTTAAAACTTTGAGTTTCAACGTCTCTCCCTTTCTTTCTCCCCACCCTCCCTCATTGAGAAGGCAAGCAATTTGATATAGGTTATACATGTGTAGTCATACAAAACACTTCCATAATAGTCATGTTATGAAAGACTAACTATATTTCCCTCCATCCTATCCCGCCCCCTGTTTTTTCTATTCTCTCCTTTGGTTCTGTCCCTCCTCAAAAGTGTTTGCTTCTGATTACCCCCTCCCCCAATCTGCCCTCTCTTCTATCATCCCCCCTCTCTTGTCCCCTTCCCCCCTATTTTCCTGTAGGGTAAGATAGATTTCCAAACCCAATTGAGTATGTGTGTTATTCCCTCTTTAAGCCAAATCTGATGAGAGTAAGGTTCATTCATTCCCTCTCACCTCCCCCTCTTCCCCTCCATGGTAAAAGCTTTTTCTTGCCTCTTTTATGTGAGATAATTTACCCCATTTTATCTCTCCCTTTCTCTTTTTCCCAGTATAATCCTCTCTCACCCCTTAATTTTATTTTTTAGATATCATTCCTTCATATTCAATTCACCCTGTGCCTCTGTCTATATATGTATGTATTCCCTCCAACTACCCTAATACTGAGAAATAACTCTCATGAGTTACAAATATCACCTTTCCATGTAGGAATGTAAACAGTTCAATGTTAATAAATCCCTTATGATTTCTCTTTCCTGTTTACCTTTTCGTGCTTCTCTTGAGTCTTGTATTTGAAAGTCAAATTTTCTATTCAGCTCTGGTCTTTTCATCAAGAATGCTTGAAAGTCCTCTATCTCATTGAATATCCATTCCCCCACCACCACCCACTGAAGTATTATACTCAGTTTTGCTGAGTAGGTGATTCTTGGTTTTAATCCTAGCTCCTTTGACCTCCAGAACATCATATTCCAAGCCCTCTGATCCCTTAATATAGAAGCTGCTAAATCTTGTGTTATCCTGATTGTGTTTCCACAATACTTGAATTGTTTCTTTCTGGCTGCTTGTAATATTTTTTCCTTGACCTGGGAACTCTGGAATTTGGCTATAATATTCCTAGCCATTTTCTTTTTGGGATCTCCTTCAGGAGGTGATTGGTGGATTCTTTCAAATTTCTATTTTATCTTCTGGTTCTAGAATATTAGGGCAGCTTTCCCTGATAATTTCTTAGATTTGTGTCTTACTGAAAATTTGCATCCCTAGGAAGTTAGCGCAGTGCTTTTCACTTACTAAATATATAATAAATGTATGCTGAACTGCTAGAACCAGCACCAACAGTGCCCTGGGATATCTACAGCCAGTTGTTTGCTATAATATGGTATCTATATCCAAGATTGAAAAAGATGAGAGAGAAGAACGAATAAAAAAGGAGTGATAGGCATTGAGGGTTGTGAAAAGTAAAGAGAGTATGGTCCACATTTGCAGTTAGGTATCCTTACTCCATTTTGCTAATAATGTCTTCTTACTTTATGGATTGCCATACTTTTAAAAACTGAAAAGAAGGAAAATGACAAATAATAAAAAGATATTTGGAAAAATGTATAAAGATAAATGGGGCCAGCAGAAAACAGAACTCCAAAACTGGAGTCAGGAAGTCCTGAGTTCAAATCCAGCCTCAGACACTTACTAGCTTTGGGAACCTCTGTTTGCCTCAGTTTCTTTACCTTTCATAGTAAAATGGGGATAGCAACAATAGCATTAACCTCGCAGAGCTGTTGTGAGGATGAAACGAGGCTTAAGCAGACTGCAGTATGTTCCTAAGGATAACTTGTGTCCAAGAAAGATATTAAAAATACTACCATGGATAATGTACAACTAGAGTAGGAGTAGAGTCTCACATAATGAGACTAAGTGGCAATAGACTGAACATAGAACTATCTTTGAGATACCAAAAAAAAAAAAAATAGAGGGAACCCTCTGATGTGTTGAGTAGATCCTTTATGGAAGCTTCATCGTAAATCCACACAGAATCAGAAGGTGTGGAGGGCTCATATCCTACAATGGTTGAGGGAGTACATGTACCGATGAAACTATGGAATTAAAGGATCAAAGTGAGTCATTCTACATTTAAAATAATTATCCTTAATTTCTCTCTCCTTTGCCCCACATGCCAACCAGTTTTTAAATTTTGCTAATTCTATCTCCTGATGTTCAACCCCTTCTCTTCATTTACAAAGACATCACCTTATTTAGTCTAGTCTTGTCTAGATCACTGCCATGGCCTCCAAATTGGTTTCCCTGAATCAAGTCTCTCCTCATTCCAATTTCTCTTCCACATAGCTGCCAAAGTGGTTTTATTCAGCGGGGTTTTTCCTTTGATTGTACTATTCTGCTACTCAATAATCTCCAGTGGCTCCCTATTATCCCAACTCAAAATTAAATTCTTCTGTTTGGCTTTTAAAGCCCTTCACAACCAGTTCCCAACCTATCTTTTCAGACTTCTTAGATACTACCACCTACTCTACAGTCTAGCCAAACTGGTTTTCACTCTGTTCCTCACACATGGCACTCTCCTTCTCCTCTCTATGTTTTTGTTCTGGTGGTTCTCCCTGCCTGGAATGCACTTGCTCCTCAGAGAACTGCCCATTTCCTTCAAGATGCAGCTCAAGTTACACCATCACAAAGCCTTTCCTGATGCTTCTCAATTCCCAGTTCCTTCCCTCCCTGTCTGCTTTATTTTTTTATTAATCTGTATATGCTTATTCTACTACAAAGTAGTCACTTCATAATTGTTGATTGATTATTTCAATCAAAGATATGTGGCAATGATAACATACCTGGGAAGTAATAAGTCTAAATACTCGGAGAGTCTCTGCTTCACAGTTTCTTTGTTGAGCCACACTAGCTGAGATCTGACCGGCAATTTTAGTGCTTTCACCATCTTTCCAGCCCAGGACTTTAACTTGTCGAACTCTCAATGTGTTCTCTGGGCCCTTTAATTCAATTTTTACGATGTGGTTATCCCCACCTGGAAGTTCACTTGTTACCCAACCAATGTGCCTAGAATCTAGATCAACCTGGAAGCAGAGAACAGAGATATGACTGAAATCAGACAGAGCACTCACTGCCTACAACAGAATCCTAAAAGTACATGTACAAACTGCCCAAGTAGCACCAAAGTAATTACAAGTAGAACACATGAAACATATAAGCTCAAAAGGCTTTTTTTGTTTAACTGTGTATGACAGTAATATTTAATTAACTACTTTGTTATTTAACTTGACATTTGCACCAATACTATTTGAACTGGTATTTTCAATTTTCATAAGAGTAATGACTAAAAACTAAGATAATCTCACTTAACTAGGAGTGTTTTCTCAAGATCTACAACATTTAACATCTTAGATGATTTATTACCATTTATTACCATTTTCAGATGATTTATTACCATTATCATTTGTTCATTTTAGAACTATACCACATTATTCTGTTATTTAAAAAAAAGAAAAAAAAAGTCCATTTCCTATATAGTGAGGTGGCATGGTAGATAAAAGTGTCACACTTGGTGTTAAGAAGACCTGAGTTCAAATCCTGCCTCAGACATGTACTAGCTGTGTGATCCTGAGAAAACAAATTATCCTGTGTCTGCTTCAGTTTCCTCATTTGTAAATGAGAATAACAACGACATTTTACTCACCAGGTTGATGTAAAGATCAAATGAGACACCATATGTAACATATACAATGCTATCTATTATTACTATTATTAAATCACAAATAGAAACAGAATTATAAAATCTTAGAGTTAGAAGGGATCACAAATGTTATTTGTAATCCGAACACCCAAATCCTGAATCCTATCCACAGCATTCATTGCAAATGATCATGATTGGTACCAAAATTCCCCTCTTCAATGATAGGAAACTAACTACTCTGGAGCAGCTAAATTTTTTTTTTTTGGAAACTCTAATCATTAGGAAGGGGCAACTAGATGACACAGTGGATAGAGTGCCAAGCCTGGAGTCAGGAAGACTCATTTTCGTGAGTTCAGTCTGGCTTCAAATACTTACTAGCTATGTGACCCTGGGTAAGTCACTTAACCCTGTTTGGCTCAGTTTCCTCATCTGTAAAATGAGCTGGAGAAGGAAATGGTAAACCACTCCAGTATCTTTGCCAAGATAACCTCAAGTGGGAGTTAGTCACAATGGAAAAATGACTGAACAATTTTTTAAAAGTTTTTGATCATCTTGAGCTTAAATCTTTCCCACAGCTCTGACAAAATTCCATTTTCACAAGAAGAATGAGATAAAATTATGAGAAATTTTTCTGATTTCTGAAGTTGATACTTTACAGATATAGTCTCTAACACTGAAGTGAGATGCTGTGCACAAATAATTCATTTGTAAATTTGGTTATCTGTAACTCAGGACATGTTTCCCCATAGAAACAATTATAAGACAGCTATGTTTTCATGCTAGCTTATAAAAATCTATTTTTTTTTTAGAGCACATTTGAGGTCCAAATAACTCCTTCAGGCAAGAGATGATAGAAGGGCCTGATGGGTGAAAGTGCAGGTTCCTAGGAAGCTTCTAAAGTAATGATAATGGAGGTATTCCCAAGCAGACTGTTGGAAAATTGGGGAATGGGTGCTTAGATTGGAACTCACCAGTATAGAGATGCCCCTTAGGTCCCCCTCACCCTCCATCATTTGTAACAGGTAGAATTTCAATTACCTGTTTGATTCTGCACAGATCTTCTACTGCTTTGCCAGCCAAGAAAGTCATTGAGGTCACTTTGTTCTGAAACAGACAAGAAAGACATTTAAATACTACTTTCATCATGTAATTTCTGTACTCAAGAACCTATGATACTTTCCTACTGCCTACCACATTCCCCCTGTCTCCCTCTTCTATGAAACCTTCTAACAACTTTGACCTTCTCCGAGTAATTACTGCACTTAGCCCTTCTACCACACCATTTAACATTTAATAATGCTGTTCTTAATAGAAGACTGTCATTCTAAAATGTTGTGTTAATCTTGACTTCTTTAATAACACTCTAAGATCTTTGAGATCACAGAACGAGCTGTATACCTTCTGGTGTGCCCCAGAGCACCCAGAAAAGTGAAGACCACAGTGTAGGTACGAAACACCTGCTGAGTGAGTTTCTCCTTCCTTTCAATTCCATATTTATCAAATGAATGCCTGCTCTCACCATTCTATTTCTTCACCCCAATTCACTCCTCTACTCTAGTTCCCACCCCCACCTCTGCTATTTCTCTTTCATGCCCCTAAATGTACATGTTTCTCACAGTTTAGCTCTCAGAGCTCTCCTACCCTCTGCTTGATCGCCTTTTCTTTGGGCAGGGGATTTCCTAAGCTAGGTTAGAAGCCTCTGCTTCCCCAGTTCCACATCTCTAACTGCTTGATGGATATTTCTATTTATAAATCTTGTTGTCACCTAGAACTCAACATGCCTAAAACAAAATATATCATCTCCCTCCTCCCCAAACTAGATTATTGTTCTAACAAAGCCATGGCATTTCAGAAATGGAAGGGGGGCTTAGATGAAGGCAGTGAGGCCCAGTAAGGTAAAGAGAAAGAACTATTCTATTTCTGTTAGTGTTACCATTATTTCCATTGGAAGCATTATAAATGCTAGTTGCTGAATCTATCATTTTTGTTACCTATCTCCATCTTACCCTTTAAATCACTGGTTTTTATTTCCTTTTTTTTTCCACCTCTCTCTTCTTTCCCATTTCTACTGCTCTTATCACCTCATGCCTTGATGATTTCCAAATCCTCATTACTAATTTCCTGTTGCCCAGTCTATGTTCTAAATATATTATATTATGCACACCACTGCTGCATAGATCTTCCTCAAATATAACTTTTAAAATGCCACTCTTGTGCAAAAAACCTTAATTGTTCCACAGTTTACAGAACAAATATCAGCTGTTTAGCCTTGGATTAAGGTCCTTCATAATCTGGCCTGAATCTATCATTCCAGCTTTATCAAATATTTACATATAGCCAAACTTTTCTACTCATTGTTCCTTAAACATACTTCATGAAGTTGCTCATTACTTCTGCCTAATGAGAATGCTATCCCTACTCTTACTTGCTTATTTAAATTTTACCAATCCTTCAAATCCTGACTCTACTTAAGCCTACCTATTCCACCAATCCTTCCCTGAACACTCCTTGGAGAATAACTTTCCTGAAAATTCTGTAACGCTGAACTGTAATTAATCATATGTGTTTGACATGTACTTTTAGTATTGCTAGTTAGATGGTATCTTTATTGGTCTTATCTAGTGAATATGTTCTAAGTTCCTTAAGAGAAGGGATTATTATAATATCCTTTAAAAAATTAGTATTTGTTTATCTTGTTCAATTTTTATTACCTATATTTCCCAATGTATTCTTCCCTCTACTGTCCATCTTATGCTCTTTCATAACTACAATAAAACTTGTTGTGAGACACTCAGTAAGAACTGGTTAATTACTGACTATGCCAGACCACACAAAGATGGCTTGTGTTTATACTATAAATCAATACTGGCCCAATTCCATAAGAAGTGAGTCACTTTCCTAGGAAGATAGTCCCAGGTTACATTATTCTACTAAACTCCAAACCATTCATCTAAGACTTCCTAGTAAACTGAATTTTTTCTACCCTCTGAGAAATAAGCTTCCCTATATAACATCACTTTTACTAAACACAGAAGTTTCCATCTAAGATCTTCACGTATATAAAAAGTAAATACAATATTCAGAAATAAAAAAAGTTTTGTTTTTTACCCCAAGGTCTCTTGAATTGTCTACATGAACAGAAACATAACGAGCATTGATTCCTTTTACACAATTGATTGTGATATTCTTAGTTTTGTTTTTATCTTCATCTCCTGACTCCCAAAAGGTTTCTGTTGATCCATCTGTCAAACTGCCAATCATGGCAGGTCTGCTTGAAGTTTTTATGTCAACAATGCTGGTTAGGTCTTTTAAACATATTACTATGCATGATTCCTATCAGAAAGAAATAGAAATAATTAGATATTCAGAATGAAGTCTCCCAATAGCATAATATAAAGACTTTTAAAAAGAAGGGAAAAAAGTGATTAAGCTGGAATCAAATTGTCCAAGATCAGTTCTGGTTTCCAGTTAACTACACTTTTGAAGGACATTAAGATGAACATGAAAATCTTCCACAATACTAGGAATGAAGAACTAAGAGCTTTAATTCCTCTTTCATGCTTAAAAGTTTAGAAAAAGGTTAATAGTTTTCCTAACAGCTTCCTTTGAAAGTCAAAGAGGAAGAGAGGAGTGATTAACAAAGTAAAAGTGACCTTTTTTCTTCCAAATTAATGTCTTAGATGTGTATTGCATTTAAAAGTTACAGACATAATGGTAATCATTTCATTGGATCATTATAAAATTAGCAAAAATATAACTTACATTCACGTGTGTATATATGTATATGTGTATACACATGGATACATACTTATACAGTTTTTCTAGATTATAATATAAAAATTTAATACATGTCCTACAATTTATATGTGTGTATATGTATATGTATATGTATCTCTATATCTAGAGAGTGACTCAAGCTTAAGAGTGGTTGAGCCTCTCCTCCCTTCAGCCACTGCAGCCTCTCTGAGGAAGCCTTTCCTGATTCCACCCAACACATCACTGTCCAAGGTCACATAGCTATTATAGAGCAGAAATGAAGTTTTGAACTGAGGACTTCTCACTGTAGGTCTAATAGTCCTTCTATTACACTATGCTTTTGTCCAAAGTGGTAGTTCCTTAAAATCATGAAAATTTAAATACCTACCTGACTCATAGCTTCAAAACCAGATTGTATACTGATGCTAAAACTTTCTTCACTATCTCCATCATCCGATTTAGAAAGAATATTGTTAATATGATGAAAAACATTGCTCTGATGGAGGAACTGATGGTCTGATTGCTTGAATTTGAGACTCCAGCATCTAAAAGAAATTAAACAATATCAGATTATTCTTTATGACAGTTATTACAGTGCTAAGAAAATCTTGAAAAAGTTCTGTAAATATATTTATGCAATATGTTAAAATAAAACAAAATTTAAAGTTCTAAACAAGCAAATGACAGTAAAAAACACTAAGAAAGAAAATAATTATTTATAGTCATTGAGGAGGATTTATCAGAATACTTAGTTGGAGCAAGGGTAAAGGGAAATTATGAGGAAAAACAGAAAGTACAACTCCATTTAAAAATAGAGGAATTGGGCATATGGGCATATATAAAGGTTGTACTGAAACTCACTCCTTGACTAGTGCTCCACTTATTATAATGAGCTTGTACTTCTCTCTAACTAATCAACTTGATGATACTATTACTTTTCAGAAGGATACAACAATATTTAACCCCCAAGCCACCAAGTGGGTGGGTACATCGTCAAGAAGCATTTCCTGATCCCCACAGTTATAACTGCTCTTTCACTCCTCAAGTTCATTCATTCAATCAAAAATTACATATTAAGCATTTACTATATTTAAAGGCACTAGGCTAAACACTGAGGAAACATGGATAAAAAAAAATAGTCCCTGCCCTTAAAAAACTTACATTCTACTGATGGGAAATAGTGACAGACAAGTCAATATTAAAAACACTCACATACATATGCATATATATGCATGCATAGGAACAGTCCCCCTTTGGAGGAGGCACTTTAAAGGGAGAAGGGGTGCCTTCTAGACATGGAGGGCAGAAGACAATCCTGTATATGGAGAACAGTGAGGGGCCTGTTTAGCTGGAACACAGCATGCTGGAGAAGAAGTAATGTCAGATCAATATGAAAAAATAGGGCCAGAGATTTAGACAGAGATTTAGGCTTTTAAATATCAGAGGAATTTGGATTTTATTTTAGAGGCACTAGAGAGCACCACAGAAGTTTTTTCAAGGCGGGGAGTGACATGGTCAAATATAGTTTAGAATATCACATTGGCAGTTTTGGGGAGGGAAGAGATTGGTGTTATGTCTATACTCACCTATTTATATGCTATATGTTCTCCAGGAGAATTTAAGCTCCTTAGAGGCAGGCATTGTTTTGTCTTTCTATCTATAAAGCCTAGTATACACAGTCACTTGCAGGACTCAATAAATATTTGTGTTTGAATTGAAGTTACAATATTCCTTTTGCTACTCTTATCACTGGACTATTTAAAAATGATGAAAGCCAAATGATCCCACTCTTCTGTAAATTCACCAAGGGCTTACATTTATAGGTTTGTAATATTCCAGTTACTAATACTGGTCTGATAATAAGCAGGATTATAATTTTAAAACAACATCTAAAATGAAAGCAGCACCCAAATTAAGAAAAAAAAGTGTTGTAAATTTTTGTTTTTAAGGTTAGCAGTTGGTCATTTAGAATGTACTTTTCTATAAAAATAATTTTATATAGTCACTTGGTTCTTGGATTTTCCCATAAAAGTCTATTTAACCCATAACATAATATAGAATCTAACCTCAAACAAAAATAATGCTTTAAAATGAATATGTATTTCATTTGAATTTAAGATGCCAGGAAAAGAATACCTATTTCACTGCAGTTCTGGCAATGAAAGTGAGGATGCCCCTTGCTCCAAGCCACTGTCATACCTCTTGTAAAATTAGGCAGAAGTAGAATGAGAATGTGAGTAGAAAATTCCCATCAGTGAAAATCTCTATGAGTGCTTGGACATTACTCGGTCCATGCTACTTCCTGTCACTCTCTATTTTCTAGCCCCTCAGATTTTACTGCCAACACATGCGGCTTGTCTTTCAGGTCTCTGTGCCCTCCACTACTACAGTTCTGGCTAAAATTTGAGGTTTTCTAAGAGGGTTTTTTTTTTTTAACTGCTAGCAATAAGAAAACAGATAGATGGTAAACATAGGGAAGGAACATTTTACAAAGTTTTAAGAAATCTCAGAAAAGTTGGACCTGGTATTGATTTGATGAAATGGAGCTATGCCCCACCTTTTTTAGTTCCTCACTATATAGCTATGTCTTCTCCTTTCTTAGGGACCTGCCCAATTCCATTACAACTCTTAATCATAGGGTTGCTCTTCCTTCACATTCTCTTTATTTACTTAGACCCTGTAGGGAAAGACAAAGGTCCCAGAGGTAATGATGGGAGAGTTGGGAGAGGAGAGGGTGGTACAAAGAAAACTGAAGAGTCTTTTAAATGTCATGGAAAAACCTAGACTCAGTGTCTGTTCTCTTTTCAGAAAGAAGGCTATTTTGGATATTTCAACAGGCAAGTTGAGGTAGGGATTCTAGGTTAAGGAGGGGATCAAAAGATGATACATCTAGTACTGTAAGGGACCACAGTAGCAATCTAGTGCAACCCCTTCATTTTACAGATGAAGAAACTAAGGTTAAATGACTTGCCAAAGGTCACATAGTCAGTAAGCATTAGAGGCAGGAACTGAACTCAGCTCTCCAGGTGCTAGAGCTCTTTCTCCTCTCCCCTGCTGCCATGAAGTATAAGACAAAACCAACCCATGAGGGCTGGGGGAGCAGTAGGTAGAGAAAGGAAGTTACTGCGGCCAATGGCTAGGGCAGTCCTTCAAAGGCATGTCAGGGACTACCAGGATCACACAAATTTTTCAGAAACTTTACAAGCATTTTAAGACTTTAAAAATCTTCAAAAATCTTTTCTTCAAAGTAGCAGCAAAGTTAGATGTCAGAATACCTGAGTGCCATTTGCTGCAATGAACTGCCACTGGGGAGAGACATCATAAGGTCTGAGATTGTCTGAAGCAAGCGGTGAAACGTGTGTGGCAAAGGATGAGCAGCTTCTCCTGCAATCACTATGTCTGAAAGTGGATGTTCACACACTCTTGTATCTTTCTCCTGAGACAGACATTAAAATCAAACAGTTATAAATTAATGTTTTTGGCATAAGAAACTTTAAAAAGAAAAATAATCTATAATCTATACACTGCAAAAAGAAATGCATTTTAAAAAATCTGCATTTAATTAATGTAAAGAAAATACCTAAGTTTTTTATCTTAGGAGGGAAAAACAGTAATGATATTTATGAGAAACCAAGACCTAAATAAATATACAATTTCTAAATATCTTTCTAGATCTGAACATATATAATTTCTCCTACAATTTCAATTTTGTCAATTTGGTAAATGCATGTGTTTGTTATATCATCTATATTATATAAACAAAACTTGTATATGTATAGCTATACCCCTCTATTCTTGAAGTAATTATACAGTCCTTTTGAAGTTTTCTAGAAATTTTTACTGCTATAAAATGGGAAGATGAAAAAGAAATAAGAGAAAGCTACTATAGTTATTTATCTACCGACCTATCTAGATATCTACTGTAGTACCATATCTCCATTGTAGCTCATGCCTTCTTCTCCCCAGGCCCAACTTTCTGTTGCCCAGTCCTGCCTTCTCCTGAATCCTCACTCTCCTCTTGGGGCTTCTCTGGGCATTTTCGTTGCTAGTTCACCCTCCAATTCTAATGTACTTCAAGCAGGGTACCCTCAAGCGGATCCTCTTGTTTCTATCGCTTTTAAACTATGTATCTGCAGGTAATACAATGCCCTGTTAGGCACTCAATACAATTTTTAAAAAAGTGAAATGAATTACATAGTGAAGTTGTAGCACTGATGAGACTGAAGTTCAAGGTATTAGTTTTAAATATCAACACCTTTTGTCTACCCTTGCTTTATGGAAATTTAAAATGAGAAAAGGAAGCTAGAAAAATAGATAGCTCTCACTGTCTCAAAGAATAACAAAAAAGCCCTAAGTCTCCCATCAATGACTTTGCAGAATCTGTTAAATATCAACTTACAGAAAAACTTCTGAATTCCATGACCCTGGTGAAAGTGTTCCTTCACCACTTGATTTGTTGCAGTAAAAGTAAGTTTGGAATTAAGACACAAGCATTCCATAGTACAAAAGATATTGCAACATATTAGGCATAATTTTATGTGACTGGTAATCTGTGTTGTTTGGTTTGAATTACACACCCATTAGAAAATTTCATTTGGCATAGCATACAGAATATGTAACTTGGTTGATTGTATATGATATTTGTAATCATTCCTACAAGAAGTTGGTTACCACGCTCTTTTCCAGAAACATTAACTGTTAGAATATTGTCTTTATGATAAAATCAGATTTAATTTTTATTATATCTTTTCTAGGAATTAATTCGTTGCAAGTGAGGAATCAGCAGCAAAACCTCTGTACAATGCATGGAATATATATTTATTGCCATTTAGCTATGAGAATGAAAGATTCAATTTAATCATTGCATTAACTAATAATTTTTTTCTGTCCTAGCGAAATATAGGTACTTAAAAAATTTCACACATACTTGTTCTGCATTTTCCTTGTTTGTTTTATTTTCTTCATCATCTTCTTCCTCTGGTTCCACTGGAGCTGGGGTCAGTGAAGCCACAAAATGCCAGAGAATATCATGGAGAGAAGTTGTTTGGATGACATTACACAAAAGCCAGTTGAAAGCCTAAATAATTGAAGTTGTAGAGGTACATTTTTTTTTTAAAGAAACAGTAACAAACAGAGTACACATGAAAAAGAAACACAAATCTTTTCTTAAGCATAGGCAATGTGATTCATATACTTAGTAAATAGCTTGGGGAAAGATAAGGAATTTTGATCAAATCTTTTTTAGAAGCATACTTTGCTTTAAATAGTCTTAATTTCACTCTCAAACTTCTTTATAAAATTGAGAGAAATTATACTGTCCTGCTAAAATAATAAAATACTTTGTCACATTATTTTATGTTTTCCTTCTTTGGATAATTATCCCAAACACTAAGTCATGAATATAGCTTTAATCAATTAGTATTTGGCATTATCATAAGAAATGACTGTCAAAAGATGAACAAATTAAATTCTTTTACTGTTTATTTTTTTTTAAGAATTTCCTAGCACCAGCATTGATAAGCTATTTAGAAAACAAATGACACGAGACACAAAGCGATAAGCATATTGATCTTAAAACACCTGACAATTTAGATAGTTTTAGGTAGATAACTAGAAATGTAATTAATAGTAATTAATTGCAGATTATTGGAGGAGAATCAAAACATGAACCATCATTTCTGATCCCTTGGAACTGTCATTAACCAAAATGATACTAGGTTGACTTAAGGAGTCTTTAGAAATAAGCTAATATAGTAACTATTAATAAATTACTTCAGTGTGCTTAAATTTGAAGTTAGTGACTCAGATAAACTGAGTCAACATACAGAAGACAGCATGATGTGTTAGAAGGTGAGATGTATTTTGAGTCAGAGGACCTGGGTTTAAATCCTACTTCTGCTGCCTGTCTTCTCTTGGGTAGGTCCCTTTAACCTCTTTGAGCCTCAGTTTTCTCATCTGTAAAATGATTGGTTGGTCTGGATGACACTGAGGTTCTTTCCAGTTCTAAATTTATGAAATTTAAAGCTGCTTCCCTATAAAGTAAGTGTCTCTCTCTTTCCCTTTCATTGCTAAACTTTTAGAAAGAGTAGTGCACACTCATTGCCTCTATTTCCTCACCACACCACTTTTCCCTTTCAATCTAGAATATAAGTTTATTATAATGGAGAGAGATACTAGGAAAGACTCAAATGATGCAGAATCAGCAGAACACAGTTTAAGATAACTAGGGAATGAGGCAATGACCTGCAGGAAAAGTGGGGTATTATACTAGGATAACAGAAAACTTCCTCCATCCCACAATTTTAAGTTTGGACTGAGAATGTGTAAAGTCATGTAAGCTGCAATAAACAACTGAAAAAGGATATCTGGATTGATACTAGAGTTAAATTCGATGAGAGGATAACAAAGAATAGCATTACTCAGTGAAAAATGACTTCCTTAGCATCTGTGTGGCCTTGGACAAGTCACTTAACCTCTCTGGGCCTTAGTTTCCTCAGGTGTAAAAAGGAGGCTGGATTGGATAGATTCTTGGGTCCCTTCCAGGTCTCAATCCATGATCAAAAGATCATAGAGATGGGAAAAGAGTGGGATGTAGTTTACTAATTATGTATGAGGAGCAAGCCTGTTCCCTGCAGCTAAAAGCTATGAAGGGAGGGGAAAAAGTGGAAGAGTTAATGAGTTATGTGGATAAACCTGGCTTCATTTTTATGTTATTCCAGACTCTGTAAGGTCATTAAAAGAAGGGAACTTAATCTTGGCATTATTTTTATTTCTTCCCTTTCTCTCATCCCATATATTCAATTGGTTGCCAAAACCTTCTAACTCAACCTTTTCAATATCTCACATCTGACTTCTCTCCACTCCTGCTATATCCACCTTTGTTCATCCAGATCCTTATCTCATCGTGCCTTGACTATTAAGATCACTGTTCTTTCTGCTTCTAGTCTATCCCCTCTCTGATCCATTCTCGTCACTGCTCCCAAGAAATCTAACTAATGTACAAAATAAGTATGTTCACCTCTTCGCCAAAACCTTTAGTGGTTTCCTATTGCTTACAATACAAAGAATAAAACCTCATTTCTAGCATTCAAGGCCCTTCACCATTTGGCCCCAACCTACTTTTCCTGCCTTGTCTCATACTACTCCCTTAACTTTCTCTATGTTCCCACCACAGTGGACCACTCTCTCCATTTTCAATGGGTTCTTTTCCAACCCCTAATGCTTAAACAATTCTCTACCCATTCTGTACCTTTGCCTCATGAAAGATATTTATAATAGAAGCCCAAATTGGATATCACTTGCTACAGAAAGCTTCCCTATCCTTTCCCTCTCAGATGACATCAATCTCTTGTTCTCAGCCCTTTGCCTGGACTTCCATTGTACTTCTCTTAACATTCTAAATTATTCTTAATTGGGTGCTTATCTTTTATCCCTATTAGGTTGCAAGCTCCTTGAGCAGGGCTGAGGTCATTCCTACCTTTATATCTATTTTTAGCTCCTACGATGCCTCACATATAGCAATTCTTTAATAAACACTTATTGAATTTGTTTTATCTTCTCGTAACTTTATGCTGCCGTTTACCTTTGCATGGATGCCTCCTAACCCATTTAAGCATAACAATTTCTATTTAATTTTTTTTTTTAAAAAAAGCAGTTTCATTAAATTGAAATACCCAGAGATCTAATAGTTCCACTAATATGCTCATACCTCCATAGCAAAAACTCGGCAAGCAGATTTCCGTAAGGCCTGTTTCATTGCTATTTCAAGACCTTCCAGATCATGGTGCTGTATAACAAAAGCTAAAACTGGCCACTGAAAATTTCTTTCTCCTTTGGAAAGAGAACTATGGGCTGAAATTAGTCGAGAAAGCTCAGGAGAAGGATGTCTTAAGAGAGAGGAACCAACTTCTATTAAAAAAAAAAAGCAAAGTATTAGTTTGAAACATCAGAATAGCTGTTTTTCACTGGTATAATCTGTAATATTAATATTCAACAGTCTAGAAATGACAACATTAAGGAATTAGAAATTTGATGGGGATGCTAATTGTTAAATAAGAAAATTTATTTCAGAGCCACTCATTCTTTGGTTTGTAAAGAATAGCAGTGATCAATATGGAAAACTTTCTTAAGAACTTTTTTTTATCTTGATTATTTAGAGGCAAAGCAGATGTCTTTAATTCAGTTAATTGAGGAATAATTTTGATGCTTTGATCACAATGAGTAAAAGCTCTGGTTAGTAGAACTCATTAGCACATACTACAAGAATCTACTCCTCATTATAAACTATAGTGTGCTAAGATGTAACAGTAATTTTGCATTTTTCACATTAGAATATCAATAACTAGAAAGTATGACATACACATGAGCTATTATTAATTAATAATTATTACTGGTCAAAATTGAAGCTTGAATAGAGTAACAAAAATAAAATCACCAAATAGAAGAAATCATCAAAACTGGGACGTGGAAGCATTACCTTCTTGGAGTTTTAATAACTGGACACAAGAGCCTTTGTTTATAATGGATCAGGGAAATATGTATTTCGTACTTCTGACCTTTGCCCTTACCAGTATCTCCACTGTTAACTCTTCTTCTAGGAATGGCCTTAACACGTGCAGGCAAAATGGAATGCTGTTTGTCATATTCTGAGGCAACAACTGAATATGATCTTTGGAAGACAGTTCGTTTTGCCAAATCAGTATCTGTTATGGGACTAGTCTCTAAACTGTAGACAAGGCAAGGAAATAAACAAACAAAAAAAACCAATTAATTTAGCCAATGTGTATTTATTTTATAATATTGTGGGCAGGTATGTAATAATATTCCCTATAGGGAAAAAATGACTACTTCTTTTAGCCTGACAAAACTAACAATATTTCGCTTCCCCCATATACCCCTCCTTTTTTTATAACTTCAATTTTTTTCTTGTATTTGTTCACACATTCAAATACAGAAGTTCGTTATTTTTTCTGTGAAAGGAGAAAGACAGCATCAAAAATTTGCCAATGTTTTTTCAGAACACAGTGTAAATGTGGTCATGAAAATTAAGGAATTTTTATTTCAAGGATTAGTAGAAAATTGATTATAGAAAGAAACTGGCCACATACACACAAATGCCCAATAAAGCTGAAAACAAAATTTTTAAGTATTTTTTTTTCTGTCCTTGCTTGAGCATTAAGCTTTTGACTTTAGGATAGCATTTTACAATGTTTTTGCTGTGTATTACAAATCTGTGTAGTAAGCAATGAGGAGACATGAACTCTTTTGTCATAACAAGACTGATACTGAACATTAGCCCTATTTTATTCTTGCATTTTGTGTTAGACAAGACAAATTTAGTGGATTCTGATTCAATTTACAGTAAACGTACAATTTTTCTACTTTTTTTCTTCAAGGCTAGAATATATGGAATCCCCACAACTAAAATGCTGTATAAAGACAGCAAAACAAGGGAAGGAAAAGTCTAAGGCACATTTGTTCAATATTCCTTTTATCTTCTTCCTTTTACCTTGAAATTCTCTTCCAAATAGTACTGTGGAACTGGGATGCTCCCTATTCCAATTTACCAAGATAATTTCTCCCCTTCTAGTCCATTCTAACAATTTTTAATATCTTCCTTATTCATTTGATCTTGCCTAATTAATTTGAAAAAAAAATGTTATTCTTTGGGCTCATTATTGTCTAAATGCTTATCCTTTTGTACAAAAAAAACCCAAATTCTATACTTATATACTTGTTCAAAGTGTCATTTATGTACATATTATTATGTGGAGTATAATAATGTAGTTTGCCTTGACTGCTTTGTCTAAGAGACAAGGAAATGTTTACAAAATCCTTTTATTTGTGGTTTGCCTATAAACCAATCAATCAGCAAGCATTTATTATGTGTTTTGTCCCATGTGCCTCTGTATTAAATTCTGGGAATACAAAGGAAAAGCAAATATGCTACTTTTCCTAAAGGAGCTCACACTCTAAATGAAGAGACAAAATGTATATTAGGAGGTATACACAATATCTGTACAGAGTCAATGGAAGGTAATTTTAGAAGGGAAGGTGCTAGTAGCTGGAGGAAAAACCTCCTGTAGAAGGTGTAACGTGAACAGAGTGGTGTAGGAAGACAGGATTCTTGGAGGCAGAGGTAAGAAAGAAAAACAGCCACTACAAAGACACAATAATGGGAGGTGAAGCATCATGTGCAAAGAAGAGTGAGAAAGCTGTTATGGACAGAGTGTACATGGAGTAGGGTAGAATGTATGAAAAACGGGGCTTTAGGAAGGAGTCAGGTTGAGAAGAGCATTAGATGCCAAACAAAGGATTTTATATTTGATTTCAGAGGTAATAGGGAGCCTATGGAAGTGGGAGGTGGGGTGTGACACAGTCAGATCTGTCTGCACTTGAGGGAAAACACTGGTTGCTTGCAGAGGATGGATTAGCGTGCAAAGAGGCTTGAGGTTAGAATAACTGAGTCCAGGCAAAGTAATGAGGACCTGATTTAGATTGGTGATTAAGAATGATAAAGAGAATGAGTCAGAGGTAAGAGATGTTATAGAGGGAAAAAGGATAAGATTTGGCAACTAATGGACAAACGCGGTGACTGAGAATGATGAGTTGAGGATGGCACTGAAGTTGTGAACCTGGGTGACTGGGATGACAGTACTGGCCTCCGCAACAGCAGGGAAGTTTAGGGGGGATAAGGCAGAAGTCGAGGTGGGGGGGTGTGAAGATATTGTTTTGTTCATGTTGACTATGAGATAACCATGGGTCCTCCAATATCAAATATCTAATGGGCAGTTGGTGATGTAGAAATGGAACTCGGGGCTGGATATGTAGATCTGAGAACCACACACATACCTGAACCTATGGGAGCTGGTGAGATCATCAAATGAAATGGTATAGAGAGAAAAGTGAAGACGCTAGGGCTCAGCACCAAGTTGTGAAGTACATCAGAACAGCCAGATAGACATGAAGAGAACCAAGAGAGAGCAGAGCCAGCAAAACCCGGAAAGGAGAAATCAAAGAGGAGAAAATAATCAAGAGCATCAAATACCAAAGAGAGGACAAGAATAAGGTTGGAGAGAAGACCATTAGATTTGATAGTTATAAGAGAGGATTAATAACTCTGAAGGGTGCAGTTCCAAGGAAATGATAAAATCAGAAGCAAGACTCAGAGAAGGCTTAGAAGAAAGAGGAGAGGAAGAAGAACCTACTTTGGATGAGAGCGCAGTGTAGAAAAGACTTTTCCTAACTGTAAAGGTTAAGGAAGTTAAATTACATAATTTCTATGGTTTCTTACATCTCTAAAATTCTATAATCCAGTCCACACTGATACTTTCCTTTCCTGCACTCCGATAGTAGGAGTAATGTTATATATTCTTTCAATATTTTTCATAGAAACAACTGATTATTAAAAGCCTTTGATAATTTATTATTTTTGATGATTTTTATGGTTCCTCTTTTTTATAATAAATTTATTTATTTATTTGGAGTTTTCAACGTTCACTTCCATAAGATTCTGAGTTCCAAATTGTCTCCCCATCCCTCTCCACGCCTCCCCAAGACGGCGAGCAATCTTATATAAACTCAACATATACATCAATGTTAATGCTATTTTCACATTAGTCATGTTGTAAAGAAGAATTAGAACCAATGGGAGAAACCACAAGAAAGAAGAAACAAAAAAAAAAAAAAGAGAACAAATAATATGCTCCAATCTGCATTCAAACTCCACAGTTCTTTTTCTGGATGTGGACAGCATTTTCAATCATGAGTCTTTTGGAGTTGTCTTAGATTCTAGAATTGCTAAGAAGAGATAAGTCTATCAAAGTTGGTCATTGCACAATGTTGCTATTACTATGTACAATGTTCTCCTGGTTCTGCTCACTTCACTCAGCATCAGTTCATTTAAGTCTTTCCAGGTTTTTTCTGAAGTCCGCCTGCTCATCATTTCTTATGAAACAATAGTATTCCATTACATTCATATACCACAACTTGTTCAGCCATTCCCCAACTGATGGGCATCGCCTCAATTTCCAATTCTTTGCCACTACAAAAAGAGCTGCTATAAATATTTTTGTATGTGGGTCCTTTTCCCATTTTTATGATCTCTTTGGGATACAGCCAAAGAAGTGGTATTGCTGGGTCAAAGGATATGCACATTTTTATAGCCCTTTGGGCATAGTTCCAAATTGCTCTCCAGAACGGTTGGATCAGTTCAAATTCCACTAACAATGCATTAGTGTTCCAATTTTTCCACATCTTCTCCAGCATTTATCATTGTACGTAGTAACATGTTAGTCAATCTGATAGGTGTGATGTAGTAACTCAGAGTTATTTTGATTTGCATTTCTCTAATCAATAGTGATTTAGAGCATTCTTTTCATATGACTATAGATAGCTTTAATTTCTTTTTAAAAAATCTTTTTAAATTTTTTGCTTTTTAGTGAGGCAATTGGGGTTAAGTGACTTGCCCAGGGTCACACAGTTAGTAAGTGTCAAGTGTCTGAGGCCAGGTTTGAACTCAGGTCCTTCTGACTCCAAGGCCAGAGCTCTATTTACTGTGCCACCTGGCTACCCTGACAGCTTTAATTTCTTCATCTGAAAACTGCCTATTCATATTCTTTGACCACTTATCAATTAGGGAATGACTATGGCTCCTCTTTGGCCAAAGTCTCTGCAATCTAAGACAATCTCTGTAGCCTCCTTTCTAGTTCAGTGCCTATTTCCCCACCAAATTCTAAAATATAATGTCACAGGGCTTGCATTTTAACAAAGAGAAGAACAGAACTGAAATACCTTGGTGGCATGGATTTCATATTACTCTCTGGCTCCTCAAACACATTAGGGCTTGCATCAGGAGTTACTGATATGTATGGTGCCGGTACAGATGTTGAACGTAGATACCTCATTTCATCTTGGAAGAGGTTGTCATCCTGGTATCCTACAAAGTTTTCATGGTGATGCCTGGATTGTATTACATATGATAAATTAAAGAAAATATTATGACAATTACCTAGATCTCTCTAAATATTTTTGTTTGTTTTTTATTTTTAATAGTATTTTTTTTCCAATTATATGCAGACAATTTTTAACATTCGTTTTTACAAAATTTTGAGTTCTAAATTTTCCTCCCTTTCTCCCCTCTTCCTAAAACAGTAAGAATTTTGATATAGGTTATATATGTGCAATCATGTAAAATATATTTCCCTATTAGTCACAATTGTGAAAGAAATAGACCAAAAGAAAAAAAAAAACCACACACAAAAAAATAAAGTGAAAATACTATGTTTTGATCTGTATTCAGACTCCATCAGTTCTTTCTCTGGTGATGGATATAGCATCTTCCATTATAAGTCCTTCAGGTTACCTTAGATTATTGTATTGCTGAGAAAAGCTAAATCATTCATAGTTGATCATCACACAATGTTGCTGTAACTATGTACAATGTTTTCCTGGTTCTGTTCATTTCACTTTGCATCAGTTCATACAAGTCTTTCCAGGTTTTTCTGAAATCCGCCTGCTTATCATTTCATATTGCACAATAGTATTCTATTACATTCACATACAGCCTGTTCAGTCATTCCCTAACTGATGGGCATCCTCTCAATTTTCAATTTTTTTTGCCACCACAAAAGACCTGCTATAAAATATTTTTGTACATGTAGGTCTTTTCCCTTTTTTAATGATCTCTTTGGGATTAGTAATGGTGTTGCTGGAATAAAGGGTATGCACAATTTGGTTGCCCTGTGGGCATAGTTCCAAATTGCTCTACAGAATGGTTGGATCAGTTTACAACTCCACCAACAATACATTAGTGTCCCAATTTTCTCATATTCTCTCCAATATTTGTAATTTTCCTTTTCTGTCATATTAGCCAATCTGATAGGTGTGAGGTGGTACCTCAGAGTTGTTTTAATTTGCATTTCTCTAATCAAAAGTGACTTAGTGAACTTCTTCATATGACTATTTATAGTTTTGATTTCTTCATCTGAAAACCGCCTGTTCGTGTCCTTTGACCATTTATCAACTAGGGAATGGGTTGTATTCTTATAAATTTGACTCAGTTCTCTATATATTTGTCTCTACATTTCTAATCCTCTGTAAACAGAAAAACATTACATACAAATATAGAATGTAAATGATCAAAGCAGAGACTGTACTTTGTTTTTGTCTTTGCATCCTAGTAAGTACTTAAAATAAATTTTAATCCAATTATAAGAATGGGTTTTCCTAATTTTTTCAGTAGCATGGCTGCTGTAGGTAAAAATTTAAACTCTTTATTTTCCTCAGCCTATTTCTAACTCTTCCATTCTTTAGTCTTTTATACTGAGGAATCAGTATAAAAGACTAAAGAATAATTTAAGTGAAAGAAAGGAAAAGGATAACTACAAGATAAATTATATCCTAAAACATTTTTTTTTGTCCACAAGAGATAGTTCCATTTAAGTATTCCCATTTTCTAGGTCTAAAAATGAATACAATTCATAACTGTTTATTTGGGGCCCTGACATTCATTCAGCCAAAATTCACTAAGCAGCTATTTATTACGTTGCATGTCAGGATATATGGATCATGCCACCTTAGAATATAAACTCCTCTAAGACTGGTTTTGTGTTGGTTTGTATAGTACTTCATATTCTGTGGTAAACATAACGAATACTGGAACTCCTGGTAAAATTTCAATTACACAATAGCAGTTGTTGATAGAGTCAAAGAATAGCCTTCATTACCTAGCTAATGTCTGCAAGTAGAGGCAAGGCATTTTGATGGGAAGGTCCTCAGAGATGCCTTCTTTCACACTTGGAAGCTGAGACTGGAATGGTTTTGTAGGGTGGTAGCACAGAATACTGGGTTCTGCAGCACTACTCAAGGACAACAGGAAGAGTGCATTTGCTTTAATCACCTGGTGGGCCTCCATGGTGGGCAAGGCACGAGGCGTCTTAACTTGCATTGTTTTTCTTCTAGATTGTTTTACCTAGCAAAGGAAAAATACTTCTTGGTGACCTTGAATTACTTATAAAGTGAGACAGTTAAATGGCAAAGTGAATAGAGTGTTAGATCTGGAGTTAGGAAGACCTAGGATCAAATTCCACGTTGGAGACACTTATTTAATCGTGGGACCACTGGGAAAGTCCTCTCAGCCTCAGTTTCCTCATCTGTAAAGTGAGGATAATAGTAGTACCAACCATACATGATGGTTGTCTGTATTAAATGAGACAATATAAGTAAGTCATTTTGCAAACCTTTAAAGAAATTACTAAGATATACACACATACACATTTATCATTACACTCTTACAGGGAGCTGTACCTTCTCCTTTGCTGCTGCTTGCTTTTCACGGAGGTATTTTTCCCTGCAACGATCACACACCAGATACCAAGTGCTTCCTCCTATGCCACCGTCACCACAGTTACCAGCCCATCCTCCACAAAAGTGTCCAATGCTATTATAACCCTGTCCACCTGCATATCGGCCACAACCTTAGAAAAATAACAAAAATTAAGATATAGAAAAATATGTCTTTAGAATCTACTTCAAAGATAAGTTATATATGAAAATTAATATAAAATTTAAAAGAAACAATCTCCAAGAATTTTATATTTTAAGAATTGGAAATTTTCAAATAACTTTCATATTTACCAAAATATTTGCATTCAATTACTTTTTTTAAAAAAAATTGCTAATCGGTTCTATGAAAATCTTAGTTGGGATATTTTAAGTAATTTTTTTTTCAACAACTAAGTGCAAAGCGTTGTACTATGTTTTTTGATTCAAAACAAGAGAGCTGACATTTTAAGAATTACTTGTCAGAAAAAATAGGCAGAACAATGTAATGTATTTGGATTTATTTTATCTAGGGCAAAATTAGAATTCACATCAGATAAGTCAGCCTTCATTGTTGACTATTCCTGCTATATGAGAGGTAACGTGGCAGTAGTGGATACCAAGTTAAGTTTGGAGTCTGCAAGACCTAGGGTGATGTTATACTTCCTGTCTGACCCTAGGTAAATCACTTGAGCTCTCAATATCCCAGCAACCCTCTAAGACTTGTAAATTGCCCAATACTGATGAAGGTTAAAAAAAAAAAAGTTTATATACTAACATTTGTATGCTGAATTATTTGTATATGTCACATATAAATTATTTAAGATTCCTGATTGAGATAGTTGGTGCTGTGATTTTTTTTCTTTTTCTCTTTTTTAATCAAAACTACATTAAAAATTCATGTAAAATGTATAAAATGAGTGACACTGTAAATTCAATGCAACCAGGTCTTTCAGCTTTTTAATAAAATTTGCTGGGCAAATTAGCCTAAAAGTAATATGTCCTGACAATAATGTTTGATAAAATATATTTAATGTTAATATCTTACCTGGATGAGCTTGCCTCATGTGATAAGTTACTGGATAGGGATGTGATTCTCCACACAGCTCACAGATGGTATCTTTCTCTGGTCCCCCCACAGCAAGCTGGGCCATCTCACCGAACAAATTACCCCTTGGCCTGGCTTCAGCCTTTTCTTTTTTCTTTTTTTCCTTCTTAGTCTTTTTATTATCTTTATCACATTCTTTCTTTTTAAGTACTGCACAAGAGCCAGGACTTGGAAATATCATGTTCTGGGAAGCAGCTTTGATGGTGGCCAAAGAGATGTCTTCCCAAAAGGCTACCAAGTGTTGCAAGGTTAAAGGAAGAGGAGATTTGGATTTCATTGTGTGGAGTGTGGACATTTCAAAAGTGGCTTCTGTTTTTCCATCCTCACATTTTTCATGGAGAGGTGGTTCCTTAAGCATTGACAAGACCTTATTTTTGTTGATGCTGCCCATTTTAGATATATCTGGTCCATGAGGTGAAATATTAAACATATTAAGAGCAGATGATATTTCCAATGAGTGCCTATTTTTCAGTTTTGTTTCTTTTTCCTCTGTAGGCTGTTGACTATTCAAACTATTTCTTATTGGAGCATGTTCTTTAGACAGTTCTGGATTAAATTTGAGAAAAGAAGAACAAGCCATTGCATCATGGACTATACCTTCATGCCAAAGGAAAGAGGCAAAGACAGCTCTGGCACATTCAGCGACAGAAGGGGACATTGCTTGCTTAGCTGGCTCTAAAGGTCTGGATCCATCTCCTTTGAAAAGGAAGCCTGACTTTTCCTTTTTGGGCCTGGTGTGCCTATTCGCGCATTTTCGGCTTACCTTTGGAGAAGCTCTTATTTCCTGCTCGTCCTTCATGGGTGCTTTTCCTATGCTGAAGTGCACTTTATTGGAGCTCTCATCCACACTCTTAAATTCAGTACTCTCATCGCAAGTGCTGTCTGTTATACTATTTGTTTTTAAGGTACTAGAAGTACAGACTTCAACTACCTCACTGTGAAGGTTTTCTTGCACTACATGTGGAGAAGGAGCTCTATTTTCAGTTCCAGGAGAAACTTTAGAATCTTTTGGTATTATTTTTGGCTTAGGTGATGTGGATCGACCTCTTAATGGTTCTGTGAGGGGCATCTTTTTCTTGCGGAGAGCGTCTGGATCCAGTGTATAGGAATCTGATTTGGATCGTTCCCGAGGAGGATCAAGCTTTGCTTTAGCAGGAGCAGGGCCTTTCTGAGGTAGACTCTTCTCATGTGGAGAAGAGGAGCGTGGAGGACTAGCACCTGGTGGGCTGGACCTGTTTGATGGGAGAGTCTTTGGCTTAGGAGAAGATGATCGAGATGCTGGCCCTGGAGACTCGGCTCTTAGGCCAGAAGAGATTCTCCCATCAGACTTTAGTGTTTGCAAGGTATTATGATTGGGAGATAAGGACCTACTATGAGAATCTGACCTCAGCTTTGCAGCATCAGATTTCAACATTAGGGATTCACTAGCAGACAGGCCTTCTGTGCCTCTTGGTTTCTTTTGATCTGTAGCAGTCCTGCTCACACGTCCATCAAGTTTAGGTGACCGGCTTTCGATTCGGTGTTTGGAGGACAGATCTGATTTTCCTGCTGGAGAGGCTGGTCTAGAAGTTATGGAGAAATTTCCTCGGTCACCTGTATAATTCATTTCAGAGTGAAAAGTATCATTACCATGACAATTCACTGAAAACCTATTAGCACACAAGATACAGACAATGGCTGAACATAAAGATATATTTCTGTCGAAGTTTGTTTGGAAAAATAATTCTTCTATAGCATTTTATGGTTAAAAAGTATTTAAGATTGAAAATAAAAATCAAGAACAAAGAAGAAAAATATGTTTGACAAAAATCTTTAAATTATAACAAATACCACAATAACCCAAAATACTTTCCTAAGTGCAAAACTGTACATGTACTACATGTTTACCATTACTGAAATATAAAACAAATCATCTATTAAAAAAGATTTTAAATAAACACTAATGAGCAAAGAGAAAACCAAACTGTCACTGACTCTAGAATGTAGAACTGGGAAATATGTAGCCTGTGAAAGTACTTGAGCAAATTTTCAGTGGAGGTTAGTTGAACATGTTTTCTTATTCACTTTATTATCTTTAGATACGTTCATTCTATTAATTAGGTTGATTGTTACCACAGCCCTGCTTTAAATGCATTGGAACAATTTTTAATTAATAAATCACCAGTGCTTGAACCCTGCTTACCATGCAATTTTAGGACATCTCCAAGTTACCAACAAGTTGTGTTAAAAAAAAATTTCAGCAATTTCTTTAAAGTTGGTTGTCTAGAAATTGAAATACATTTTTTAAATGAGGAATAAGGTTCCTAGAGTAGTTCACAAAAGCTTATTTCCTTCCTAATGTATCTTGAACTACAAAGTCATTGGGTTTTAAGAGATGTAAACAACATGAAGTCAAGTGGAAAAAAAGGGTAAGTTTCCTAACCTTTTGCAGAGCCAATCTTAATCAATATTTTGAAAAGCCAGACAGATGGTACATGGCATGCTCCCACATATATTTGCATTATTTTTGTGGCCCTAAACCTGGGCCTTCTATGTTCCTCTGGAGTTCTAAATTCCCCTGAAAAGTTACCTATCTCTACTCCCCAAGTCAAATTCCCATTCCCTTAGTTTAGTTGTTTGCAGATAGTTATATAAAAGTGTAACTAATCAATCTACAAGTACCTATTATGTGCCAGGCACTATGCAAAGTGATAAAGAACAGGCATAGAGGCTATGAATTTATTGGTATAGGGGACAGTTGGGTGAGCAAACTCCACTCTATCAATGAAGGTGGGCACCTTCTCTGCAACTATGAGGCTTAAAGAGATGCCCAGAACTAAGTGACTTTCCAGGGGTCACATAGCCAACACATGTCAGATATTTGGCCAGCATTCTGAGTTCAAGGCTCTAGAGGAACAAAGTAAAAAATTCAAGTCCCTGCCTTCAAAGAGCTTAAGCAATTTGACTGCACCGGTAGCCAAGAAATTTACACTGTCTAAATGACTGATATTCCTTTATCTTAGAGGAAGGATTTAACTTTTTTTCAAAGAGGATGTTTCAAAGCCATGGCTTAATTATGCCATCTCTCCCAGGCTGAAGGGGGCCATCCATGCTGCAACTTTCTACTTTTGAACTCCACCATTTCCTAAAAGCTCTATTAAAACACACACACACACACACACACACACACACACACACACACACACACACACACACACACACACACACACACACACACACACAGAGTGGTTCCCACTTCTGTTTCAGTGACTGCTGGGTGACGACAGTTTCTGTATATTGGCTGTTTGGGCCAGAGGTTTTAAAGTTAGCAGTTAGGTGGCACAAGGGATACAGCACCAGACCCGGAGTCAAGAAGACCAAGTTTGAATTTGGCCTCAGACACTTAAGACTTGTGTAACTCTGGGCAAATCACTTAGCCTCTATTTGCCTCTGTTTCCCTATCCGTAAAATGGGGATAACATAGCACCTACCTACCAGGGTTGTTGTGAGGATCAAATGGGATAATAACTGTAAAATGTTTAGCACAGTGCTTGGCACATAGTAAAGGGCTATAGAAATGTTACCTATTATGCTAATTAATCACTTCCATCTTGTCACATATTTTTCGTATAAACAATATGTTCTTATAAATTATTATACCTATTGGCTTCCTAATCCATTTAGAATTTTTCTTACAAGTATAAAGTACAAGTTTAAAGAAATATACACAGGACTGAGAAAAAGCAGTTATCTTTACATTGATTTCAAATAACTAATCTACTTTTTTTTTTTGCCAATGAAATGATTACATTGGGACATAACTGCTTTAGAAATTGATATATTAGGCATACTATAAAAAAGAAAAACATTATTTACTTCAAGTATGGATCAACTTTTCAGGGCAATGAGCTGCATTTCTAAGTTTATAAGAAAAGGAAGAGAAGGTATGCATACAGAAGGAATGTCTACAAAACTATTTTACGAATTTGTGAGAAAAGAAAACCCCAGCCCAACAATAGTTTGGTTAATCTTTCTAGTATAGTCCTAACAATTATGTTCCTGTGAATCTCCCTCTTAAAATACTAGACTGAATAAATTTATTGATTAATTTATTAGAGAAAAAAAGCAACATTTGAATAAAAAAATCTATTTAAGACCAATGATCCACATATATTTTAAATTTAGAATTTCATTTTTTCTTCCTGAGTTTAAGCATTCTCCTGATAACGATGTTAAAACATTCTTGACCACTATATAAATGCTACAAGAAAACTTGCTTTGCTATACCAACCAACAATTTCTTGGACAAGAAGGTATGCATGCACATTATCTTATCAAATAAGATTTAAGAACTATAGTTAACTGAAGACTCAAAGCGTTTTTCTTTGAAAAAACTTACTGAATTTGTAATAGTAATTTTATAACAAAGTTTTCATATATCAAATAAATAATGGTTGTTTCATAAGATGAATTTTAAGAAAAAAACTCAGGATTGTATATTTTTGCCTATGTTAGATATTAAAAGAGAGTATTAATACTTTTTCATATAAATATTTTCTATTTAAGATACTCATATCAAATAAGGAAAATCTGATTTTTATGCTAAGGAGATAGATAAAAGATATACATAAAATTACATGTAAATTACTTCTAAATATTTCAACCTTACGATTAAATTTTAAAATACTCGTTTAACAAATGAATGGAATGAAAATGAATTGAGGTGAAATTATTATCCTTTTTCAAACTTCCTTTGTAAATTTTGAATGCCCCATCCATGAATGCATGCATACCCACCCTTCAGTTTGTGAGACAGAGATGAAAGAGCAGAAGCAGGCCCAGCTACAGCATTATTTTTGTAAATGCGCTCACGAGAAGCAAGGTTGCGAGATGGAGTTTCTATAGTAGAAAACAGTGGCAAAGAAGCAACATAGGATCAATGGAAAACAATTTAGCAGAGAAAACAAGCAGAAACAAAGAATTTTAAAGGGTATGCATCTATTTGCTGTTACTAATAAATTTCACTGCTAAGCTGCATTTCACTAAAGAAATCTATACTCCTCTCAAAAATTAGAAGCAAGAGGGACAAATTGATCAATTTTGTTTACTAATCATTTAAAAGATCATAACATTTTAAATGAGGGTCACAATTTTTTATAAGGTTGGATCACATTTTTTTCCTTTTAGTATTCTTAAAAAAAGTACAAATTTGAAGAATATAGGTAGCTAAATAATAGTGGGAAGGGCTCTGGGAGTCTGGACATCTGGAATTTAGTATCAATTCTACTTCCAAATAGTTGTAGAAGCATGATTAAGTCATTCAAACTCCTTGGGAATTAGTTTCTTTATTAATAAAATAAAGGAAGTGGCCTGAAAAAGATGATTTCTTAGGTCTCTTCCAGCTCTAAAATTCTATGAGATACTACAAAAATATGATGGTTTCTTTTTTTTTTTAATTTAAAATTTATTTTTATTTGTTATCCTGTTGTGGAGAATATACTTTTTAAAATAAATATATTTATAAATTGTCTTTTAATTCAAAGTAATTTGTGCTTTCAGTATGTATATCAACCTTGGCTCTGGTAGTACAGATGTGAGTCAACAAAGATTCATTATATACACATCAAATTTCATGACAAGAAATGCCATTGAAACAGCAATTCCTATAATAATAAAGATTTCTGAGATCAAGTATATCTTATGTACTAGAACAATATCACAGTAAAATCTCAGTACCAAAAGAAAAAAAAAGGCATTTTGCAAACCTGTTGGGTTTCTACTATAGTGGATTTGTCCACAGTTCTGTTATGTTACACGGTTTTAGAAGAAGATCTAAAAATCTCAATGGTATAAATAGCTAAGAAAGTGAATTACTTTACCTCTTATGTTTCCATGAAAATGTTAATTTAATTTAAAACCTTTATTTATTCAGATAGACTTTGACAAAATCCTATAATTTCAGAGATGTAAGGGACTAGAGAGGCTGACTAATCCTACCCACGCCAGAATATCCTCCACACCAGGGGTTTTAAAAATTTTTGTTTTGTTTTGTTTCAAAGACTCATTTGGCAATCTGGTAAAGCCTATGTTGACAAGAATTTTTTTTAAAATGTCATAATTGAAGGGAATACTAAATTTCAGTTGGAGGTTAATAAAAAATTAAGATGCGATTTTTTCCCACCCTAGTTCATCGACCCCTAGAAATCTGTTTATGAACCACAAGTTAAGAAGCTTTGCTATACAACGTATCTTTTAAGTGGTCATACCTCTTTCCTTGAAGAACTCCAATGAGGGAGAACCTATTTCCCAAGGTAGGTCATTTCACTGTTGGATAGTTCTAATTATTAAGAAAGTTTTTTCCTTGTTACACCTAGATTTGCCTCATTGCAACAATCAGTTATAAAAACAAAAATTGAACTGACCCAAAGTCTTGATGTATTTGATGTAGTTTTGACTTCCTTTCTTTGCTTAAATATTAAATGATAAAAATAGATTAATTCTTCAATAAAAAAATAATGTAGCTACTGCGAGGGCAAATCTTACGACCAAATTACAAATGTTTCATAATAAATAAGTCTTTTTCTGGGGGGAGGGGAAATTGGGAGGAATGGTGA